CGGCCGGCCCCCAGCCCTTCTGGGAAGACGGCTGTCTCCCGAGGAGTGTCCCACGGCGCAGGCAGCGACAGGGCGCAAAGACCGCCCCTCCCTGGGCCCCACACACAGGCGCAAAGGCAGCTCTTCTGCCTCCTGGGCTTCTCTGTGGCCAAGCAAGCAGCGGGGACAAAGTCCGAAACGGTGCAGCCCCCAGACACAGCTCTCCCCCAGGTCAGCAAGAAAGGCCAGAGACAGCTGACAGACAAGGAAACAAGTGTCCTCCAAATCACAACTTACCTGGGGGGAGGATGGATGGGTCCAAGTTGAGAACTGATGGCTGCAGAGAGAAAATTCAAAGCAAAGATTGGCCTGGCTCCTCTTTGGGACCCTGAACACTGCTGGCCCCCAGGTAGCCCTGCCAGCCCGAGGAGCAGCTGGCACCTATCACAGTGCTCCCGAGCCTTCCTGAGCACTTGAGTGTGATGAACCCGCCTCACATCGGACTGTCTGCCTCAATCTCCAGGGGGCTCTGGGATCCCTAAAGCTCATGGACCCCAGATGATAAGCACCTAGAGCCTCCCTAAAGGACAGGTGCCATCTGCTTAGAGCTTCCAGCTCCCAAATCCTAAAAACCTCTTAAGACCCTGAAGCTGCCCTCTGCCTGCACCCCGCAACGGACTTACAGTCTCCCTGGGAAGCCAGTTTCTTGCTCTCCGGTTGGTCTGTGAAAGAGAGAGGATGTCAGATGCTGCACCCACCCACCCACAGCTGCCTCAAATCTGATGCTGATGCCACACGGCCTGGTAAACAATCCCCCCTCCCGCACCCCCCATATCAGAGCCAAGACAGGAGAGTAACAGGGACTAACCCTGGAGTGGGACCAGACTTCCATCAGTCCCACCACTAGCACTTAAGAGTAAAAAAGTTCTTTATAACAGGAACAATGATGGCGGAACTCGAGTCCAGGGTCAGGAAGGGCCCAGGTGTAAGTCTGGTTTTGACTGATCCCCACACTGATCATTTTGGCTACTGTGGGTAGTACTGCATGCCCTGGGGCCAGCCAAACTGCACTTATGTGGGGCCTCAACAAAACCGCGAGCATTTCCCAAGCCTACCAGAAGGGGAGGAACAATCTTGAGAACTTACAACTTGGACCTAGTCACAATCAATCTGCTCCTCTCAGCCACCTGATACCCCAGGATGGCAGCCCGAACAAAAAGAATGAACAAAGCTGGGATTGCTGAGGTTTTAAAAGACCAAATGGCTTCCCCCTGACTCTGAACCATGTTCAAACAAAGGCACCTCACTCTACCCCCAGGCCTTCTTCCCAGCAGGTAGTTATAGTTACCTCCGTCTTCTAACTGCCTCTTTTGGCCCCCAAAACCAAAATCGGGAGTGCTGTTGTTCACTGTTGTAGCAGCGTCGCCTCCAATTTTGGCTGCGATCTACAAACACAATCGTAAGCACAGAAGGTTACCACCACAACCAACCTTCCCTGGTGCTCAGACCAACTTCTCAGAACGTACCCGAGGGCCTCAGCGTTCAACAGTCATCCAGGAATTTCAAACCCCCTTTCTAGTTGGGATTTGCGCCTATGTTGTTTGCAACTGGACCACAATCCACACTGATTTGCTCTCAGGAGGGTCCTCAGGTTGCCTCCACGAGGGAGGCAGGAAGTGTGATTTGTAGCCTGGCTCTTCTGGGATGGTGAGGAGCACAACTTTCCTTTATCTCCCTCCCCCTCAAAATCTGCGTTCGTTGAACAAATTTTAGGGAAGTTTTTGCTTAAAGGCATCCGAAATCTTCATTCCACCAAAAGAAAAGACCCTTTTTGAAAACACAGGTTACATGTCAGACACGTGAGGAGCAATTTCAAGTAACCCCGATCCCACAAGTTTAAGACCAGAGTCTGTGGGATTATTACAAGCTTTCCAGAGACACACAAACCATGAATTAAGGACCTATCTTTCCACCTCTCCCAATTTTTTTTCTTTTAACACTGTGAGCGAAAGCTCTTGGGCCGAGGCCTTTTCCCACCCCAGCAAAGAGCATCAACTCGGCTAGTTACAACTGCTTCTCCAACAAGGCAGGTTGGTGGGCAACCAGATCAAGTGCACGTTAGAACCCTACCCTGCTCCATAGGTGAGAAAGCCACAGACCACACTGGGCGGGAACAGGGCGTTCACCTAACGGGACCTCCCACTCTGCCCTGGAGGCACTGGAGCAACTCAAGGAAAGCACTCAATCGCAAAAGCACTCAGTCGGCCCCCAGACAGTCGGCTTCCTGAGAGGGCGGCAAAGTTCTCCCATTCTACAGGCCTCCTGCTCTCCAGGACGTGGGGAGGCCACAAAAGGCGCTGAGGAGGTCAGTCACGACAGCATGTGACACCTCCATGGTATCATCATGCCTCAAAACACAGTGGCGGGACCCTCCCCTCTTTCCCAAAGAGAGACCACCTTTCAAGCCACCGGAAGCATCAAAAAGAGCCAGACCCTGTGCCCACCCTCCCCATTTCGCCTAAGTGCTCGGCCACTCTGGTAGCAAGGGTTCCCCCTTTGCAGGCTCAAGAAAAAAGGCTGTTTTCCTCCCAAAGTCCCTTCTTCCCGGCGGGCGGGCAAAAAATGCGACTGGGCTGGGGGCAAACAGAGCTCTCTGCCCTGATGGGGAGGTAAGGGAAAAGCAAGACCCTCCCCACCGGGAAGAGGGACACTTTGCTTCCTAGAGAGGGAATCATGCCATCGGGTGTCCTAAGGGGGGTTCCCCAAAGTGAGTCCCAGCCCTCCGGGACCCCTGAACATCCAGGGCCCGTTCCTGGCGACCCCCCGGCCACCCCTTCACCCTGCAGGGGGGTCACCCGCTGGGGGCCCACTGGAGACACCCTGGGCGGCCCAGGCCCCCGCCTACCGCCCCACGTGACCCCGCGGCGGCCTCGGGCCGCCCCCCCGCGACCCCGCGCGCGCGCGCGTGACCCCGCCCCCTCCCCCGCCCGCGCGCGCCCCTCGGGCCCGCGGCCTCCTCACCTGGCGGGCCCGCTGCACGGCGTCGGCGAAAGCGTCCTTGCGGATCCCCGGGCCTCCCCCGCCGGGCGGCTGGGAGGGACCCCCGGCCGACCCCCCGCCCGGGCCGCCGCCGGGGCCGCCGCCGCCCCGGTCCCCCGCACCCGGCGGGCCCGGCGGAGGGCCTCCCCCGGCGCCCCCGGCTCCCCCGGCTCCTCCGCCGCCGCCAGCGGGCGGCGGCGGCCCGGGCGGGGGTCCTCCCGTGCTGTAGTCCGACATGGCGCGGCGGGGCCGGGCCTGGCGCGGAGGCTGAAGCTGAGGAGGCGGCGGCGGCGGCGGCGGCTCAACGCGGGAACAAGGCCTCGCTCCACACGGCCGCGGAGCACTCTGGGAACCCAGCGGCTGGGAAGACGACGAGGGGGGAGAGGGACGCCTCCTCCCGCCGCCGGCGTGACGGACGGCGCAGCCAGGCCAATCGGAGGCGGCCGCCGCTCCTGGGACACCAATCGCGGCCTCTGGAGGCAAGCGACCAATCGGAGTGCCGCGAGAGGCAGTGGGCGGGAGGCGCCGCGTGACCGACAGCTCTCGGAGGCAGTGGGCTTCGGGCTGCCGGTGCTGGGCGGGCAAATCGAGGCGACCCGAGAGGGCAGGAGGCCCAATGAAGCGGGAGTTCCAGAACTACGGGGCGACTTCAGAACTGGATTGACGACTCCGGAGAGTCAAGTGGACAGGAAGGAGGGGCCTGCCGAAAGGCCCCTTTGAACAGGCTGGGCGGGCGCCAGGTGAGATAATCGTGTACGCAAGCCAATGAGGACACGCAGAAGGCGGGTCTTGCGCAGATTGGCAGCCAACTTAATCCAATTCCTGACGAATTCTGGGTGACGCGCTTAGGTTTGACTGGATTGCTTTCCCTGTTAACCAGAATCCTCTTCTAGCCTTGATTTCTAAGCCAATGGCTGGGCGGCGGGGGCGGGTGCAAGGTGACGGACACCGCTCTGGACAAATGGCAGGGAAGGAAGTAAAGGGGCCCAGTTTTGGTGGGAGCCAGTGGAAGCGTAGCTGCATTGGGGCGGAGCCGGCCTCCAGACGACGAGAGGGGATTAGCCGTAGCGAGAGTGAATGGCAGTCGACGTGGGCAGTGCCGACCGGCTGAGGGGAATTCAGGCCTGACGTCTAGGTTAGCGCCCCAGGAGCCTGGCTGGGCAGGCCGAACACGTGGCCTGCTCGAGGCCTTGGAGATCGGGTGCTTCCGGGGGTGGGGTGGGCCAAGAGCAGGAGGGAACCCAGGGATCCCCGGTATCCCCCTCGCTTCTCCACCCAGGATTCTAGAGCCCCCACTTCTCTTCCAGGACTCATGCAACCAGTTCCCCTCCAGAATTCAAGGGTCTAGGGCCATTGGTTCTCTCCTAGGACCCTAATTCCACACCCCACACCCTCTTCACGTAAGGTCTGGGGACCTGAGCTCCAAGCTCCAATCCTAGGCCCTCAGTTCTCTCCTGAACCCAGGCGTTATGGAGGTTTACAATTCCTACTCAGGACCAAGGGGCCCAAGATATCCAGGCCTCTTTCCGAGACCCAGGGATCCCAGGCGCCCAGCTTCCACTCTTGGGACACAGATATCCGAAGCGCCCAGCTCCCTATTAGACATAGGGTGTTCCAGGTCCCCAGCTCACCCCCTGAAACCACGGATTCCTAGTCTAGCCCCAGAGATTCCAGATACCCAGCTCCCCTCCTGGACGCAGGTATCCCAGACACATCCAGCAGAAACTCTTTATTTCAGGTTGTCTCCACGTCCACCATTTCACCCTGAAGCCAGGACAAGCCACAACGGGCCAAACGGGAGTCCAAACTAGTCCCTGGCTGCACCCTCGGGAAGGATCCCCAGGGATCTTCTGACCCAGGCCCCCAGACTGCTTCTCCTGACAGAAACTGCCCCCCTGGGCCTGAGCCTGGAGGGCTCTTTGGGCCAGGGGACCCTGGATCCTCCTGTCCATTCTGCCCAGGGTGGGTCGACTGGCCACTGCCTATACACCCAGGGTTTTCTTCATGGCTTCATACACCACGTAGCTGATGCCACCTGCTGGCAACACCTTCAGTAAGGTGGGAGTCATGCCTCTGTACAGCCCCAGCCAACCCTGCTGGGCCAGGATCCACTGGAAGACTCCGCGCATGGTGGGGTTTGAGCCCTCCACAGTGTCTGTGGGAACAGGGGCAAGCTCAGGGCTTCTGCCAGAGATGATCGGGCCACCCCGGGGCGGGGGCGGGCTGGAATGTTGGGGGTCCGGTGAAGCCAGGGGCTGGGGTCTGGGGGCCAGCGTTGGGAAGGAGTTTGGAAGACTTAGAGGAAATTGGTCAGTTTGGGGAGAGAGATCAACTCAGGCAGGAGTTTTCAGGATTTGTTTTCAGGAACATCTTAGAAAACATTCACGCTTATTTGGGAGGAAACTTCTAAGATCTGCCAGAGATTTGGGAAGTGTGCTAAGGGATGGTTTGGGGATATTTTCAAGATTAGGGTAGCGGACCAAGGACTTGTTTGGATGTTTGTGGATTGGTTTAGGGGCTGAGAGTCCATTTGGGGAGTATGCAGGGTAATGGAGGAAGTGGTTATGACATTGGGATGTCTAAGGGTCAGGTTTAGCGAATTTAGGAATTTTAGGAATATGGGCTGGCTCAGATTTGGAGAAGTTGGGAGAGCATTTGGGGAATCTATGTCTTGAAAAATGGTGTGGGGGCCTGAGTTGCATTTGGGGGGTGTTTGTGGGGGTCAGTTGGGAGATGTTAATTTCAGTGGTTTGTAGGGTTAATTTGGGGTTGGGGTCAGATTTAGGGGTGAGTCTTGGTAGGTTTAGAGGTCAGTTTGGGAGTCACTTTTGGAGGATGAGAAAGTTCAGTCAAGGCTAAGGGGAGGGGCATGCACGGTGGCCACTGGGGCTAGTCTGACCTTGGGCCTGCATCCTGGTGCGCACCAATGTCAGCGGGTAACTGGCCATCTGGCCGCAGGTCGTGGACAGCGTCACAGATGACAAACTGACCAGGCCACTGGGATCCTCCATGTCCCTGCCTGACTTCAACCAGAAGCACCTGAGCATCTGCAAGAGAAGGGGGTCAGGAGGCAGTTTACTACGGGCCTGTGTTCACACCAGCCCTGGCACCCCTCTGTGGGACCCACACCTCATAGACGGCCAGGTCCGTGCAGGCGTAGGGGATGATGCCGAGCATGTTGGGCAGGTAGCCGCGGTACAGGGCGCGGGTGCCCTCCTGCTCCAGGATCTGCCACGCACAGTCCAGCAGCCCCTTGTACTGGCCTGTCCGGCGCAGGGTCAGCCGTGTCTTCAGCACCTGGGGAGGGCAAGGAGGGAGGTGGCTCATCTGATCGAATGCTCTCATCAACCCTCATCGACTAGCCCCCAGTGGCCACCCTGCATGCCCCTTTCTTGACCCTCAGCGGCGGCTGGCATTTCCGTCCTACAGCTGAGGAGGTGGAAGCTCAGGAGTGCAGAGAGCTGAGTTTCCAACCCAGAGCCATGCGATTCCTTGGCCTATGTGTGCTTTCAACCCAGGGTTCAGAAGCCCAAGTGCTGACAGAGGCCAAGAGGATAAGGGAAGTGGCGTGGACTGAGCGGAGTTACAGCTTACACCCAGCGGCAGCCAAACATCATGCCACGGGGGTGCAGACACCACGGGGTGGCCAGGTTTGCCAATTTTCCAAGAGAAGCCAGACATAGTCATTTGTACAAAATACCCCAATATCAAAATATTGGCAGCTCTACAATTGCCCAAAAAACCGAACACCCAGTGTGGTAGGCAGAATTCTAAGGTGGTCCCCAAGTTTCCCACCCCTGATATGTATGCTCCATATGATGCCCACCTCCCCTCCCACCCTGACCTTGACAGTGTGCTAGGCCTGGGACTATGATTGGGTATCACTCCCCTCATCAAGTTACATGACATGAAGTTACATTTCATGGAAGTGAAGGGATTTTGCAGATGTATCGGGGCCTTAAGCAATTAGTTTTAAGTGAAGCAAGACCAATTGTCCTGGGTGGGCCTGACCGAATCAGGTGAGCCCTTTAATAAAAGAGTCTGTTGCCAGAGACGGAAGAAATCAGAGCGATTGGGAGTATCCAGGACACTCTTCAGTTGGTCTTAAACAAGCTGACTGTTGTGGAGAGGACTACATGGCAGGGACAGTGGGTGGCCTCTAGGAGCTGAGGACCTCAGTCCTATAACTATAAACTGAATCCTGCCAACAACCAAGGAACTTGACAGAGGACCCAGGCCTCTGGTGGGTTCACTGTAGCCCAGCCAACACCTTGATTTTGGCCTGATGAAGCCCTGAGCAGAGGACCTGACTAGCCAGTGCCCAGGCGTGACCCACAGACAAACAAAAGATAATAAATCTGTATCCTTTTAAGCTACTGAGTCTGTGGCAATTTGTTACGCAGCAATAGAACACAAATACACTTAAGAGGAAATTTAACTAGTTAAGGGCAAGAATTATATGAGAAAAATTTAAAAGACCATTAAAGTACATAAAAGGAGACTTGAACAAATAGAAATGATCTTGGATACCAGAGCCGGCCTCATAGATGGCAGGAATCTCTAAGCTTATTTATAAATTGAATACCATCCCAGTAAAAAATACCAATAGGTGACTTTGTTTTCTGAACTTACTAGAGGTAAGTTACTTCTAGAGTTCATATGGGAAACCACGGTGGGAGTAACCTGGAAACCGATAAAGAAAAGCAGGGATGGGGGATGAGAAAGAGTAAGGTCAAGCCTCGAAAATTAAAGACAGAAGATAAAACTATAGGGATGCCCAGCTGGCCCAGTCGGAAGAGCATGTGACTCTTGATCTCGGGGTTGTGAGTTCTAGCCCCACGTTGGGTGTAGCGATCACTTAAATTAATAAAATTAAAAAAAAAAAAGGTAAAACTAGACAATGAAATGATTAGGGATTCAGGGGAGAAGCCAGAAGGGGTGAGTAGGTGGAGCAGAGAAGGTTTTTAGGGCAGTGAAACTACTCTGTGACACCCTAATGGGGGGTAGGTGTCTGTATACATCTGTACAAACCGCAGAATGGACTACACCAAGAGTGAACCCGAAGGCAACTATGGGCTTTAATAATAATGTATCGATATTGGCTCATCAGTTGCAACAAACGTCCCCCCCCCCCCGCCCGCCCCACGCAGGATGTTAATAGTAGTAACTGTGTATGTGGGGAGAGGTGTGTATGGGAACTCTACTTCCTGCTTAATTTTTCTGTAAAACTGCTGTACAAAATAAAATCTAATTGTTACCCCCCCCTCCCCTCCAAAAGAGGAAAAAAAAAAGACATTACTGCCTGGACAGACATAGCAGAGGAAGAAGGGAAAGGCCAAAGATACACTCAAATATGCACAGGAATTTAGTAAATTACACAGGTGGCATCTTGGATCTTTGAAGGGAAAAGGATAGGACCCAACCAGTAAATAGTTGTTGAGATGACTGGGGAGCCATCTGGAACACAAGTTGGACACGCACCTCACATGAAGGAGAAGACGAGGAGGAGGAGGAAAGGGGAAGACGAGGAGGAAGCGGTAACAGCTGGTAGCTAATTTTCACATTGTTTCATCTTCCACAGGGCAGATGTTCTCTTACCTCCATGGGGTTGATAAGCGTCTGGGAGGTGGCCACAGCTAGGGAGCCAGCAAGGAGACGTTCCTGAAAGGGTGGGGATCCATGCACTCCGCAGAAGTAATTCTTACACTGGGGCAGGAGAGAGGAACAGGAGAGAACTGCTGACCTTCTTCCTAGCTGAAACCCACCCTGGGTCTGGGGCCAGAGGGTGAAAGTGTGTCTTGGGTAAGGATCTGGGCTTGAGAGGGCGTGTAGGAGAGGTTTGGGTTGAAGGGCAGGACTGTGCAAAGTGGGCCTCTCCCTCTCCCCCGCCCACCTGTTCAAAGACGGAGAACTTGATGGCGTACTCGGGGGCAATCTTGAGGACGTTAATACCATTGCCCCGCCACAGGGAGCAGAAGCCCCCCTCCTGGACCATGCTCCGGAGCCCCCCCAGCAGGTTCGTGAAGTTAGTCTTGGAGGAGTAGACCTGGGGACAGGGAGGCCACTGGCCCTGTGAGGAGCCTCCCACCTGATCGCCTCCATCCCAGCCTGGAGCTCAACCCCATCCTGTCCCCAGCCACCCAACCCCATTCCTCCTCCCGCTCCCTTCCCAGCTGGCCTCACAGTGCTCATCTCCTTCCTCACCTTCAGACACAGACCCACGTGCTCATCTCCTTCCTCACCTTCCTCTCCTTACCTGTTCTAGTTTGCCTTCAAAGCCATCCAAAGACCCCATCCTCAATACCCTTATCCCCAACCCACCCTGTCCCTGGTACGGTTCTCTCGGCTCCTCCCACTCAAGTTCATGCTCCATCCCCATTGGCTCCAGCACCATCCCCAACTTCAACCCCCACCCTTACCTCCATTCAGCCTCCTCCTGACTCCAACCCGCGTCCCAGCCCCACCCTCGCACCTGTTTCCAATTGCACACTCACCCCCATCCTGAACCCCATCAGCTCTGCCTCCATCCAGCCCCACCCCAGAGGCTCCAGAGCTGTGCTCCCCGCGCACCTGCATATACACCTTGGCTCGGTCCAGAGGGGCCGTGCCAGTGCGGGACACCGCCCCAGCCATGGCTCCTGAGAGCAGAAACTTCCACAGGGCCCCCTCGTTATCCACTTCTAGGACATCGACGGGGACCATCAGCTGCTCTCCTGTGTCCAGCACCTGCGGGGCAGACCCAGCTCCCACCCGTACTCAGCCAGGCTGGAGCTCCTTCCCCGCATCTCCAGGAAGCCCCTCCTGGTGAAAGGCCCACCCTGGTCCCCACTGCTTGAAGGCGGAAATCCAGGTCTGCTTGGAGGGGAGTGGGTCATGCAGAGGGGGCAGGCAGCACGGCCTTCTACCCCAGCCTTCAGGCCGGAGGTGCCGGTAGGCCTGCCGTGCTCAAGCTCACCTGCTGTGATGGGAGATGTTCCAGGACATTTTCATGCACGTGCCCAAACACATACCCATACACATGTGTACAGCCCGGGTTCCGGGAGGGGGGCGGGGGCAGGGTCGGAGGTGGTGGGGTTTTGGCGAGTGAGGCTTTGACCCTCTTAAACAGGGTCTGGACGCTCGAGCAAGGCTTCTGAGCTTCCTCGGGCTGGGCTCCCATGGCAGCTGGAGGGTCAGGGCACCTAGGTTCAAATCCCTGGTGACAGGTTTGCCCATCCAGCAGCCATGGGGGGGGGCCAGCTTGTAAATTTGGGCACCAGGGCATGATGAGGTCACAGAGGCCCTTGTGACCTCACTGGATATGGTGGGCAGAGAGTGTCCCCCACAAAATGTCCATATCCAAATCCCTCTAAACCTGTGAACTCTCCATGTTACGTGGCAAAGGGGAAAGTGAATTTGCCAGAGGCTTTAAGGGCACTAACCAGCTGACGGGGAGATGGAGAGATTATTCTGGACGAATTGCGTGGGCCCAGTCTAACCTCATGAGTTCTCAAACAGTGAAGAGGGAAGCAGAACAGTCGGTGTTGAAAGGGTTCAATGTGAGAAAGACTCATCCGACCGTTGCTGGCTTTGCAGATGGAGGAGGGAGCCACGAGCCGTGGAGTGCAGGCAGACCCTCGGAGCTGGAAAAGGCCAGGAAGCAGATTCTCCCCTGGAGCCTCCAGGAGGAGCTTGATTTTAGCCCAGTGAGATCCGTATCAGACTTCTGACCTCTAGAATAATACATTTGTGTTGTTTGAAGTCGCCATGTTTGTGGTTGTTATAGGAGCCACAGGCAACGAATGCACTGTGTGTCGCTGTCGTGGCAATGGGAGATAGATGTGAGGGAGAGTGGGAAGGTTCTGGAGCTCTGGGAGGGAGAGACATAGTTGGTCCCCAAGGTGAGACAGGCATAGATCTGGAGGCAGCCTGAGTTTGAATCCCATCTAGGACAACTCCTGCTGTGTGGCCTTGGGGGACTCGCTTTACCTCTCTGAGCTTCAGTTTCCCCAGGTGTAAATTGGAAGTAATAATAAACTACCACGTTGTGTCAAGAGGCTGCAATGAGTCTTCATTGAGAGCGCGTCCATCCTCCATGTGGTTTGGTTCAAAAATCTTGATGTCATCCATGATTCTTTTTCTCTCATGCCCACACTCTGTCATCAAATCCTGGCTTCACCTTTAACATAAATCCGGAATCTGGCTGCTGCTTACCATGTCCGTGGCCCCCACCCTGGTCCAGCCCTGTGATGGATAACCCGGACCAGTGCAGTCGCCTCCACTCTGGGCCCCGGACCAGTGCAGTCGCCTCCACTCTGGGCCCTCCCACTCTTGCCCCCCGTCAGTGCTCCCCACAATAACCACCAGAGGGCGCCCGTGAGCACCGCAGTGAGGTCCTGCCCTCCTCTGCCCACAGCTCTCCAGGGTTCCCATCTCCCTGGGGTAGAAGCCCAAGTCCTCCGTGTGGCCCACAAGACCCTGTATGACCTGCCCGGTCCCCTCCCTGCCCTTCCCTCCTCCCTTTCTCCTCCTTGCCCATTCTGCTCCAGCCACATGGGCCCCCTCCCTGTTCCTCCAACACAGCCAGGCATGATGTTGCCCCAGGACCTTTGCACTGGCTGTTCCCTCTGCCTAGAATGCTGTTTTCCTGGACATCACCATGGCTCCCTCCCTCACTGTCTTTAAATCTTCATGCAAACGTCACCTTCTTCCTGATGCTTCCTCTGACAACTCTATTTAAGATGTAAACTCTGGGGGCGCCTGGGTGGCTCAGTCGGTTAAGCGGCTGCCTTCAGCTCAGGTCATGATCCCAGTGTCCTGGGATCGAGTCCCGCGTCGGGCTCCCTGCTCACCATGGAGTCTGCTTCTCCCTCTGCCCCTCACCCCACTCGTGCTCACTCGCTCTCACTTTCTCTCTCTCTCAAATAAATAAAATGTTTAAAAAAAAAAAAGATGTAAACTCTGCTTCCCCACTTTATTTTTATCCATAGTGCCTTTGCTTTCTATCTGGCTACACATTCACTCACGTGTGTTATTTATTGTTTGTCGCTCTCCACTGGAATGTGGGGTCTATGAGAGCAATGATTGTTGTGTGTTTCACAAAACCGAGTCTGGCACAAAGCAGGTGTCCGGTAAATAGATGATGAGTAAGTGAGGGAGATAACGCATCAAAGGGCTTAGCACAGAGCCAGCGTATGGAGTACTTGCTCAATTAATGTAAGTTCTTTTCCCTTTAAAGATGTCAGTGATAACATCCCCTATTTTGTGGGTGGGGAGACTCAGAAAGAGAAAAGCAGTCTGTGTGATATCACACCACATGTCAGTTCCTGAGGCCCAAACGGTGTAATGGGATGTGAGAAGGTGGACAAGAAAATAGTGGTTGACTGGCCTGATTAAATCAAAGTGGTAACACTCTGTGCTGGGATGACTGAAGTAAAATTAGGAATGCCAATTCCTTGTTGGTAGCTGTGTATATCACAGATGATTTCTCTGGGGGCATGACCCTGAAATCGTCATATCCTTTGACCCAGCAATCCCGCTTCTGGGAATATGATCCTCAGGACATAATTTAAAGGAAGTAAAAATACGAAATAGTTAGCAAGGCTTAAGTCCATCTTTGAGTGTGTGGAAAATCATATCTATGTAGGCGCATGCGTATCAGTTAGCTACTGCTGCATAAGAAATTACCCCAACGGTAGCAGCTTAAAACACAAGATGGTGACAGGAACAATTTTGGTCATTTGAAGACAGGCAGAAATCGGACCGATTGGGTCTACGAGCCGAGGAATGCTGTGTGCCAGCAACTGCCAGAAGCCAGAAGAGGCAGGAAGGATCCTCCCCTACAGTCTTCAGAGGGTCGTAGCCTGCTGACACTTTGCTTTCAGACTTCTAGCCTTCAGAACTGGCGGACAATAGATTCCTCTTGTTTTTTATTCACCATAGCCAATGGTGGAAGCAAGCCAAGTGTCCAATGATGGATGAATGAATGAATAAACAAAATATGGTCCATCCACACACTGGAATATTATTCAGCCTTAAAGAGGAAGGACATCCTGACACCTGCCACGACGTGGAGGGACCCCGAAGACACTGCTCAGTGAGAGGAGCCAGACCCAGAAGGACACATCCTGCAGGACCCCAGTCCCAGGAGGTCCCCAGAGGAGTCCCATCCACACAGAGAGGAGAGGGTGGGAGCCAGGGCTGGGGCAGGGGGTGGGGAGTCTGTGCTTCATGGGGACAGAGTCTCCATGTGGGGAGATGGAAAGTTCTGGAAACGGAGGGTGGGGGTGGCTGCAGGACAGGGTGAGTGTGCTCAACTGAGCTGTGCACTTAAAAATGGTTAAGATGGTGAATTGTATGTGATGTCTAGTTTACCACAATAAAAAATTAGATCAGTCTAAAAACTGTGTCATTTTAAGCCTCCGGTCTGTGGTAATTTGTTACAGCAGCCCTGGGAAAGAAATATCCTTATGTAATTAGAATACAGGAAAAATAAAAAGGGCCCATGAATGTGGGCTTTTCCCTGCCCCCACTTCACAGCTACGGAAACCAAGGAAGTCACTTCCTGGTCTCCTGGCACTGTGTAACAGAGGATGGCCCATGTCCCTTCCCTGGGGGTAGTTTGAGGTGGTCCCACATCGACCCACCCCCTTTCAGTAAAAACCACAATGAAAGAGCTTAGAAAGTGTATTCCTTTTGTTCTTTTCCTTTGAAATAACACACACAGGCGGGGAGGTGGGACACGGTGTAGGTGGGGGCAGGTGGAAGCCACGGGGGGGGGGGGTCCTCCAGCCCCCCAAACAACCCAGTTGCTCTTTTGTAGTCCTTTCATGGGGTTCCCCAAGGACTTGGGAGGAGTGATGGGAGGGGTCCCCCAATTATGCTAAGCTCAGAACCCAACTCTAAAGTGCAGAATGTACAGGGCCGTGGAGGGTGCTGCGGGCTTGGGTTATCTGAGGGGGAGGAATGTCAGCTCCTCTCTAGTAGAAAAATAGACCTGGAGTGAGTCGGGGGGATTTGGCTTGTTTTGCATAATTGGACGCTTGGCTCCAGGGAAGGCTAGTCTGTGTAGACTTGCTCTGGGCTCCCAACTCTGAAGCCTGGGGAAGAGACTGGCAGTGCTGGGGTGTGCTTGGGGAGAGTCTCCTTAACGTGTCCCCGGCCTCAGACTGACCCCTTGCCAGCCCCCAGGAAAGAGCGACTGGAGGTTATCATCAGCCTAAATGTGGGAAGGGAACGGAAGACACCGCAGAGCATTGTGGGGAGCATTGCGGGGGGTGGTTTCCCCACAGGCCAGAGGTGCAGCCATGCTGGGCAGGTGGCGGGGGTATCGAGGCTCTGTCTAGTCTGTGGGAGGGGGGTCATCTCCTTCCCCAGCTGCCAGCTTCTAGCCATGTCAGGACTGATGGCAAGTCCCACGGGTTTTCTGGAAGCAGGAGGCCAGGACCTAGGCTTCCCACAGGCTCCTTAGACCCCGGGCTTTGTGTCATGGGCAGAGGGCCCTGGGCTCTGGGGTGTGTCTGGGACAGGGGCACGGGGGGATCCAGGATGCTGTGACGGGCCTATTGGGATCTATTTAGACTTGGAGTCTGAGCATTCAGGATCCAGTGCCTGGGAGGATTCTGGTCAGAATCCAGAGGTTAAGGGGCTGGGATCCAGTGCTTGGAAGGGGGGGGGATGTCTACCTCCTATGGGTGAGGTTTCAGCTTCCAGTGCCTGTGGTGAAGGGATTTGGGGTCCAACAGCCGCAGTCGCTGGGACCCACTCGCTCTGCCGTTGGGCTCACATTGTGGATTTAGGAGCCAGGATCCAGCTGGTCAGGGCTTGGGAATCCGAGATCCGGTGGTTGGGGGTTGAGGGTGTAGTGGTTGAAATATAGGGAATCCAGTAGTCAGAGCAGAGGGATCCGGGACTCAGTGTCAAGGTAAAGGAATTCAGGAATCCAGTAGTTGGGGTGAGGGGATCTGGGATCCAGTGGCTGGGGCCCTGGGATCTAGGCATTGCATAGTCAGGATCCGGTGGCTGAGGCTTCTTGATATCCAGAATCCAGTGGTGGAGCTTGGAGATCCAGGGCTGGAAGCATGGGGATCTGGGATCCGCCAGTGGTTTTGGGGATCTAGGACCCAGTGCTGGATCTGGGGCCTGAGGGAGCTGGGGTCTGGGTGTTTAGGTATGGTGATGTGTGCTCCTGTGATTGGGTTATCAGGATCCATCAGTTGGGTTGTGGGGCATCCCATGGTTAAGTCATAGAGGTCCAGGACCCCGTGTGTTGGGGGGGCCAGTAGACATGATATGGGGGTGTAGGACCCAGTGGGTAAAGTGTGGGGATCCTGCGATTTGGTATAGGGAGCCCTGGGATCCATCGGCTGGGCCATCAGTCTCCAGTGGCTGAGGTGTGGGGGATGTCATGATTGGGGTGAGGGATCTGGGGTGGGTCAGGCTCTGGGTCCCTCACCTGGACGTGACCCCCAGGGCCTGCTTCATGTTCTCGTAGACCACATAGGAGATGCTCACAGCCGGGATAACCTTCATGAAGTTGGGGGCAATGCCCCGGTAGAGGCCCCACACGCCCTCCTGGGACAGGATGTGACGGAGCAGACCCAGCATGGAGAGCTGGGGGGCACCCTCGATGGAGGCTGGGGGGGGTGGGGAGGCCAGGTGAGGCGAGAGGGCCCCTCTTACTTCCCCCTCCTACTCCCCAGGGCTGGGCCTGTGGCCGTTGCAGCACGAGGGAGGAGGGTTAGCTTAACAGTGAGACCTACTACTCAGAATCAGGACTTCTCCTGGCTCTGGAAACAGCTGCTCGCCTTTTCAGCCCAGTCTTGAGGGCCCAAGTTTGGGGATGATTAGAAACAGAGAAGGTATATGTATATGTGTGGGTGGTGGGAGAGGGTACAGACATTTCCTCTGCCTGGAACTCACTTCCCTGCCTCTTCTCCCAGCTCACTCTTCTCTGCCTTCCAACCTTCATGCCAAAGCAGGCTCTTCAGGGGAGCCCTGCTTGGTACCCCAGTCTAAGTCTGGCTCTTTCTCTTATCCTGCATTCAACCCTAGATCCATACTTAATTGTGGAATGATTTATTCAGCATCTTGCTTCCTCTCCAGCCTGTGAGCTCTTGGAGGGCGAGAACCCAGGTTTATGCACTGATACACCCCCAGAGAAAATCACAGAACACAAATGCTAAAATTCCCAAGGAAACTCCCAAAACAGATTCAGGAATGTGTGTGTGTGTGCGTGTGTGTTTTGGTGGGGGGAGAACCCATAAAAGAAACCTATGAGGAAAACAATAAACCCATACCCAGCCTGCCCCCCACCCCCCTGTACCCGGATCTTCCCTCGCCTTGCCTTCCTCACTGTAATCCAGCCTTGCAAATCAGAGCTCAAGTTAGCAGCCCTCCCAGCTAAGCCTGCTAGGGCACTCCTCCAGTATTCGCTGTATCTGCTCTCCTCGCTCGCTCGGTGGGGCGGGTAGGGGGGTGGGAAAGGGCTCCCGTTCCAGTGTCACAGATGGGTACACTGAGGCCCAGGGAAAGGTAGGGACTTTGGTGGAGGCCATCCAAATCCAGAAGGATCCCAGCTTGGGACCTTGCCTGGCCAGGAGGAGGAGCTGGGGATGGGGAGGTGGGGCCCCAGTGGTGATGTTCTCTCCCTGCCCCATCCTCCCGCCCCGGCCTCACCTTGGGCCTGCATGCGGGTCCGGACCAGGGCCAGGGGGTAGCTGGCTATCTGGCCACAGGTACTGGAGATGGTCCCACAGGCCAGGAGCACGAGGATGCCTGGGTCGGCCGAGTCACAGCTATACTGCTGAAGCCACTGGTTCTTCAGGGTCTGGTGGGGGTGGAGAAGAGAGTAGAGTGTGGGTTGGATCGGAACTGGGCAACACCATGCACAACCCTGGCTTCGGAGGCCCCGCTGGCTGGCTGGCACTAGCTGAGTGCTCGGTACCTCCCAGGTGCCCCGCGAGCACGGTACCTGCGTCCTGTCACTCAGGCCTCACCTTGACCCTCTGTGGGACGTGGGAGGACAGCCCCCCACTTCTGCCCATGCCCTTGCCCTTGGAATATGGTACCTCATGTAGCAAAAGGGACTTTGCAGTTGAGATTAAGTTAAGGACCTTGAGATGGGGCATGATCCTAGACCATCCAGGCAGGTCTGATGTCACCACGAGGCTCCTTATAAGAGTCAGAGGAGAGGGGATAATAGAGGCAGAGGTGGGGGACGGGTTGGAAGATGCTGTGCGGCTGGCTCTGAAGATGGACAACAGGCCCACGGGCCGAGGCAAATGGGCAGCTGCTAGAGAAGGGGGAAGATAAGGCAACAGCTTCTCCCCCGCAGCCTCCGGAAGAAAGGCAGCCCTGCCAACAGCTTGATGTTAGCCCGCTGAGCCCCACTGTGGACTTTGGACCTTCAAAACGATGAGATAGTGAACGTGCGCTGTTTTAAAGCCCTAAGGTTGTGGTCATTCGTTATAGCAGCCATAGGAAACTAATACGCTCTCCAATGTGGACACGCCACCCATATCCTATTCAACTCAAATCAGCTGACTCCCAACTGCCAGCATCCACAGTTCTGCCTGAGGACTCTTGCTGGACCCAGGTAAGGCTGCTCTGAGCCGCCCCCAAGCCCCCCAGCAGCGAGCAGCAGACAACTGACTTGGTGTATCAATACCCCAGCTCCCTTGCGTCTTGTGGGGAGGGGCATGTTCTATGCTGCCTCCAGAGGCCCCCCACCGGGACTGAGCTGCATCTGCCCACCATGATAACTTGCTTGATAACATGCCCTTATGGGTTCGATGGCATCCCCCCAAAAGATATATTGGGGTCCTAACCCCCAGGACCTCAGATTGTGACCTTATCTGCAAATAGAGTCTTTGCAGGTGTGGGGAGAGTTAGGATGAGGTCACCCTGGAGTCGGGTGGGCCCTTAAGCAAACATGACCGATGTCCTCATAAGAAGAGGAGATACAGGCGCCTGGGTGGCTCAGTCGGTTAAGAAGAGGAGATACAGAGACAGAGACACACAGCGGGGAAGACAGCCACACGGTGACAGAGGCAGAAATTGCAGGGATGCCCCTTGCTGGAAGGGGCAAGGAAGGATGTCCCCCTAAGGTTTAGGAGGGAGTGTGGCCCTGCCGACACCTTGAGTTTAGACTCCAGCCTCTGGGACTGTGACAGTAAATGTCTGTTGCTTTCAGCCCCCCACAGTTTGCAGTACTTTGTTAGGCAGCCCTAGGGAACGAATGCTCCTTTTATTTTGGTTACCTTACCTTCCTGCCAAACCACGTGCTCTCACATCCCTGCTTCCAGAGGACCTCAGACTAAGACAAATACCACCACTATCTCCATTTCATTGACAAGAAGATGAGGCTCCAGGGAAGTTACTTATCCATAGCCACAAAATAAGGGTGGGAGTCAACATTCAGAGCCACACTGGAGTCCAGAGTGGTGCACTTGGTTTTTTGGGCAGCCAATCCCTATGAAGCCTCTCTGCGAGGACCTTCTTTCTTGCTCTGGGACTGGGATGGCTCCTAGGTTTCATTTCCCATGTCACTTCCCACCCCTTGGTAACAGCTGCCCGGAAGTGTGTGGAGAGGGACTCAGGGCTGGGATAGATTAGTGATGTCCGGGCTGGGCAAGGAGTGGGCGCCTTGGAAGCAAGTGTTCATCATTATTGCCTTGCAATTTTAAGAGCCTTCTTTGGGGGTGGGCGCCTGGGTGGCTCAGTCGTTAAGCGTCTGCCTTCGGCTCAGGTCATGATCCCAGGGTCCTGGGATCAAGTCCCACATCGGGCTCCCTGCTCAGCAGGAAGCCTGCTTCTCCCTCTCCCACTCCCCCTGCTTTGTGTGCCTGCTCTCGCTATGTCTCTCTCTGTCAAATAAAAAAAAAAAAAAAAAAAAAAAAAAGAGCCTTCTTTGGGGACTGGAGCAGGATTTGCTAAATAGGTGTTGAATGAGTATTTAAGAGGTGTTCTGTTGAAAAGAAGTTCTGAAGACTGCGTAAGCATGGCCAACACTGGGCCAAAAAACAAAACAAAACAAAACAAATCAAAAAACCACACCAAAAACAAAAACCCAGTGAAATCACTTTTCTGCAGACTTCTCAGAGCCTTTAAGGGACTAACATAGATTTTGAAACTCCAAGAAGGCACAGGCTTTCTCAAACCACTTAGACCTCCCAGCTCCCTTTTTGGGTGAAGAATGGATCAAATAAAGTTTGGTCTAATTTCTTCTCATAGCCCCCAGTGGCTGAGTCTTGCCCTTAGGAAAAACCAGGCACATCACTGAGCTCTTGCTGACTCTTCGGTTCCTTCCAGCCACTCAAGACTTGCACTCCTCCAACAGGCCAAATCCAGTGCTGCTTCTGGAGCTGCACTCTCTGCACCCTCTGCCTTGTTTCACACGGCCTTGCTCATCGCCTCTCAGGGGCCTGCCTCGACCCCCTCCTGCCCACTGTTACTTTCAATTACACATCCTGTTTTATTCTCTTCTGAGAACTTAGCAGGATCTGAAACTACTTGTTGGCCCGTGGACTGACTTCCTTGCTCATTGGAGTGGGTGCCCCAGGAAAGCGAGGACTGCGTTGTTTTTATTTAACGCTGTCCCCGTACCTTGGGATGCTCAGTAAACCGTTGCTGAGTGAGCGAGTGAATGACTGAGCAAGTGAGTGAATGAGTGGTGGTCTTGTCTCACGTGGCCACCCAGGTGCTGGGTGCTGGGTAAGTCAGGGACGGATGGCAGGTGCAGAGTGTTGGAGATGAGGACCGGCTGCATCATTTTGCGAGGCCCAGGGCAAAATAAAAATATGTAAGGTCCCTCGTCCAAAGATGATTTGGGATTTCAAGATGGCAACAGCAGGGCATTAAACCAAGAGCCAGGCCCTCTGAGCATGGGGCCCTTGGCGACTGAACTGGCCCCCTGCCTGTGAAGCTAGCCCTGTCCTGGACACAGAGACTTTGGGGGATGCCTGGGGACATCTGGGGCTGTGCTACTTGGAAGAACTTGGCAATCCCACCAGGAGAAGAGAAAAATCATGACCCTTGGAAGAGAAATCAACCCCCCCCCCCCCCATTTCTGCCTCTCTTGATAAAGGCCTTGAGATGCTGGCCATGGGGTGTGGTTTCTATGAAATGGGCAGGCCCTGAAGAAGACTTTGGCCGGCTCCAGTACATGCTCTGGGGAGACAGGCATCTCTGAAGCTCACATTCACTCTCTCCCATGATTCTGTGAGCTACGGTGGTCCCTGATCTTCCTGGGTTCCCAAGGCCCAGCAAGGCTGAACTGCACACGGAAGTGGAAAGAATTCTCACAGTGGTAAAAGTGAAAGAGTCGGGGAGTCCAACAGCTGAAGGGGTTCCCCAGGATCCCAAGGCCCATGGCGCTTCTCCACCCCTAGCTATGGAGGTTCACTGAGTCAACCCTATGGGAAAGGGGTGTCCCGTGGGCAAATCCCAGAGGGGAGAGAAAAGGGGAGGGCGGGCTGCCCACAGACCTCATAGACGGCCAGGTCGATGCCCGCGTAGGGAATGATGCCCAGCACATTGGGCAGGTAGCCGCGGTAGAAGGCGCGGGGCCCCTCTCGCTCCAGGATCTGCCACGCACAGTCCAGCAGCCCCTTGTACTGGCCTGTCCGGCGCAGGGTCAGCCGTGTCTTCAGCACCTGGGGAGGACCCCGGTTATCGCTGGGAAAACTGCTTCCAGAAACACCACACCCAGCAGTGAAGACACCTAGAAACAGCTACTCCTAGAAGGATCTACCCTGGCAATACCTGAATTTAACAAACCAGTTACTCTAGAATCTTTTGCTATCCCCAAATCTCCATACCTCGAAATGGTTACATCTCTCAGAGTTGCATGGCGGCCACTGTGGCCTCCCAATATCTTGCTCCCATCCCCCCTTAATAATAGAAACTATAATTTTCAGCAAGCACACAGCCACTCACTTTCCCTAGATATATGGCCATGGGACTAAGTCTTAGCCAATGAAACAGCAGGAGAACAGGCATGTGTGACTCTCAGGAAGTATTTTTAAAGGCAGGGAGGTGGTTCCTTCCTTTGTCTATTCTTCCTTATTGGCTGGAATATGGATGTGATGACTGGAGCACACGCAGCCATTTTGGTCCACGAGGTGGGTGTTACATTCTGAAGTGCTGGAACAAGACAAAGGGAAGGAACCAAGGTCTCTACCACTTTGAAGTCACCATACCTGCCCTGAACTGCTTACCTCAGACTTCATTTATGTGATTTGAGCTTTCCATCGCTCAGAATCCTGACACACTGCACAACCTGAAACCTGAAATAATTCCCCTGGGAACAAACAGCATGGAAATCAGTATCCTAACAGGAGGCATGTCCATAAACAGCTGGCCCCACGGTTGCTGCCTAAATCGTTATGATCAACACCACCATCCCTAGAAGTCACATCTCAAATTCCAATGCCCATGCAGACTACACATGAAACAGCATTGCTCTAATGAGCCCCAGTCCAAATTAGGGAGAGGCAAAGTTACAATACCAATGCCTATCACACCACGGAGTAACGTGGTTATCGCAAGCCCCTCACCCTGCAAAGAGGCCTCGGCCAGAGTCCCTCCTTCTCACCTCCATGGGGTAAATGATGGTTTGGGCCGTGGCACCAGCCAGGGAGCCAGCCACAAAGCGCTCCTGCACGTGCAGTGTCTCCTGCTGCCCCCGAATGGCCCGCTTGATCTGAAAGTGGGAGACACAGAGGTGGACAGGACCTCAGGTCGTCCTGCTGTGGGCACCACCCAGGGGAGCAGATGTCCACTCCTGGGGGTCCTGCGGACATCCCCCGCCCCAAGCCAATCCCACCAGCCCTCACATCTAGCTCACATCTCCCACACCGGCCCCCACCTGCTCATAGGCCATGAACTTGATAGCCGACTCAGGTGCAATCTTGAGCACGTTAATCCCATTGCCACGCCACAGGGAGCGCATGCCCCCCTCTCGGATCATGCTCTTTAGGCCCCCCAGGATGTTTAGCTTGTTGGTCTTGGAGGCGTGGACCTGCGTGGGGAGATAAGGTGGCCTTGGGGTCCCCTTCTGGGGCCCAGGCCTAGGAGAGGGGGTGGGTCTTTCCGGGGCCCCTCACCTGCATGAAGACCTTGAGGCGGTCCAGAGGGGCCGTGCCCGTCCGCGAAACAGCACCTGCCACTGCACCTGCCACCAGTTGCTTCCACCACATGCCGGTCAGCTTCTCCTGCTCTGAAAACTCATCAGGGACAGTCAGGCACTCACCAATGTCCAAGACCTGAGGAGGCAGGGACTGGGGTGTCACACCATCATAGGGGCAGGGAGATGTACCTCAGCCCTAAATGGGAGTGTCTCCCTCATGAATCCCAGGACACTCAGAGCATCCACCAATAAATCTCACTTAGAGAGCCCAGGAGATCCCTCTTGGAACCCTACCAGATCCCAGCAGAACATCCAACCTGACTCCCATGTAGGATCCCAATATCCCTCCTGGGCACCTCCACCAAATCCCACCAAAGGAGCCTACCCAAGCATCTACCATATAAAGATTCCTTCCAGAGCTGATCAGATCCCTTTGAAGGATCGCACCCAAGAATCTCCCACATAAGGATTCCAGAAGATCCCTCCAGGGCCGCACAAGATCCCACCAGGGACCTGCCATATAAGGAGACCAGTGGATCCCTCCCAGGGCCTCAGCAGATCCCACAGGGAATCTGTCCCCAGGGATCATCCCTCCCCTAGAATCCACCTATAGACTTCCCAACCAAGTCTCTCATGGATCCCCAGGGTGGGACTGTCTGGATCTCCCAAGAGAATCTCACCAGATCCCACAGGTGGATTCCCCTACAGATGCCATCAAATGCTACTGGAAGCATCAATCAGAGATTCCCACCCAGAAGTGGGGGAATTAGAGCACCTCCTCCCCCAACTTCCAGTGGATCTCAGTGGATTTTCCAAAGAAGGTGGCTTTCTAATGAGTCCTTTCAGCAGCAGACCATTTATTGGGGCAAAAAGAAGCCAGCAGAAGGGGAGCTGTGGGTGGAGGCTGGAGGCTGGGTGCCCTGTCTGGTGAGCTCTTCCTTCCCTGTGCTCCCATCTCCCACAGTCTGCCCCCAGGACCCCAAAGTCAGGTCTGAAGGGCTCCAGCCAGATCACAGACCTCCCCCAATGGGTCCCCAGTCCCCTGAGCCTGATCAGAGGAAGAGAGGACTAGAGTGTCATTCCTTGGCTGTTCCCAGTGGCTCTTCCTTCTCAAGACTCCTGACCCAGCCCCTCCATGCCCAGGGGAAACCAGAGCAAGGCCCAGCCACCACGCTAGGAAAGCTGCCCCCACCTCACCGTAGAATGTTTCCAGAAATAGACCACATCCTCCACATTCTCCAGTGAATGCAACAGGAAGTGGTCGCGCCATTCCTGCCAGTCGATGGTCATTGTGCCGTCTCGGTCCATGCTGGGGGTGCAGGGCAAGGTAGGGATAGAATCAGTGCAGGGGCTGGGCAGGGGGTGTAGGAGTGAGGTTCAGCTGGTTTGGGGGTGGACTGACTTCCTGTGCACTGAGAGCTCGCCATTTTACAAAGGGGAAAACTGAGGCTCTGAGAAGTGAAGCATCTGGTCCAGGATCTGCCTGACTCCCAAGCCCACCCCTCAGCTCCACCTGCCCTGGGACTGGGTCTGGGGCCTAGAGACTCAAGGTGGCCAAGGGGCCCTGGGGAACTGGAGTTACCTGGGATTCTGGACCCCCAGTTATTCACCTGTGCAGAATTTTCTCTGCTTGCTCCAGCGAGATGGAAATGCCTAGGGCTCGGAAACTCTGCTGGATCTCAGACACATCGATATGACCTGGGGAGGGGACCAGAAAAGGAGTGTGCGTGGGGGGACCCTGGAGCCCAGGTCTAGTACAGCTCAGAATGGGGATGGTCTAGGAAGACCAGGGGATCCAGGAACCCAGGAACCCAGGATGAGATTTGCAGCAGGGTTGGGGGGGGGTCACTGACCCACTGGGATTAGAGAGGTGGAACTGGGCAATATTGGGGGGTTCCTCTGCTCCATGAATGAATGAAAAAATGAATCCAGGGATAATTATGGGGGTCCTTATGCCATAGGGGATTGAGAGGCAATATTAGGGACCCAGAAGAGGCTATGGGGGGTGTCTCTGCCTCATAGGGAATCCAGCGGCAATATGGGGCATCTCTGTGTCCCTTAGAAACTTAAGGGTAATAATAGGGGTCGCATCCCAGAAGGGTGGGCCCATCCCACCTAGCTGGGGGGTGAGGAGAACTCCCAAAATAGCTTGTGAGTCATCAGGGAGAAGTGGCCCTCCCCCTCCTAGCAGTGCCAGTTCTAACCCCACTGGTGTCTCCAGGGCCCCTGCAGCCCATCCCTGGGGCGTACCATCCTGATTCCGGTCCAGACTGTGGAACAGAAGCAACAGGCGCTGTTCCCGCTCCTGCAGGTAGCGGGAAAACTCCTCCAGGTCCAGCCCACCACCTGGGTCAGCGTCACTCTCAGGGGAGATGCCCTGGAAAGGGGGAAGGGACGAGGGAGCTCCAGGAGGCTGCTCCCAATCTGCAGGGGGCATGACAAGCTTAGGGCCCAGGAACTCAGAGCCCCAGCACCTAAGGGGAAGTCACCCCTCCATCCACCAGCTCACTTCTCAGCAATATGCCCAAGGCCACCATAGGTCTATGAGCTGGAAAGCAGTTGTCCAGTTTGCCTGGCAAGCAAACTGAGGCTCTCCAAGGTCGAGTAACTTTTTCAAGGTTACAGAACTGGGAAGTGGTAGGTAGCCTTGGGCTCTTGTCTCTGAAAGCCCGTCCTCCCAGCTGTCTCTTAAAAAAACCCTGTCCATATGGCAGTTTCAGGAGCTCCCCTTAGAGACAGCTCTGGGCACTGTGGGGCAATGAGAGATCTAAGCTGAGCCCTGACCAGGCCTCTGGTTTCCCACCTGGAAAGTGGGAGGTTGTCCTGGAGGTCTCAGGATGCTGTGGAGAGAGACACTCCAGGGGCATCTGGGGCTAGAGGTGTAGGGGACACCTGCATAGGCCTAGGGGCAAGTTCCTGCTTTGCTACATCCCATGCTGAGGGTGGCCTCGGACAGGATTGGGTACTGGGCTGGGGTAGCCTGGGGCATTAAGCCAGGCCCGGGGAGGGCAGGCCTGGGAAATGTAAACGTAGAGAGGCTGGGCAGCCGGCTGGGAGGGCAGTGGATGCCCGGAGGAGGGGGGTAGGATGGGAAAGGGTGTGTCTCCTGAGGTACCGGGCTGGGGTAGCCTGGGGCATTAAGCCAGGCCCGGGGAGGGCAGGCCTGGGAAATGTAAACGTAGAGAGTCTGGGCAGCCGGCTGGGAGGGCAGTGGATGCCCGGAGGAGGTGGGTAGGATGGGAAAGGGTGTGTCTCCTGAGGCACCGGGCAGGGTATGTCTTGGATGGGCAGAGAGTTCAGAGGAGGGTGTGTCCGGGGCAGTGGGCAGGAGAGCGGATCGGCTGCTTTCGCTGGCAAGACATCCCCCACCCTCGAGGCACCGGCGAGTGGGTTGGGGACCGGCGGTTGGCAGCTGGACTGCAGGCCTGGAGCCTCCGTGGCTCTGTCTTGGCGAACCCGTTAGGCCCAGACCCGCGGGGCAGGGGGAAGGGGGAAGGGGACGGAGACGCCCAGGCTGGGCACCCGCACTGGAGTGCAGCCACAGGCAGTCGCCGGCTGCTGCGGCGGCGCTCCATTCAGGGGCTCGGGTTACCGGCGCCCGCAGGGCCGGAGCGCCGCGCGCCAGGCGGGGGTCCCGGCGGGGGTACCTGTTGGGTGTCGCGGTTCGGCTCGCCCCCGCCCAGCCGGGCCAGTCCCTGGCGCAACTCGCGCACATCCACGCGGCCATCCTTGTTACTATCCAGCTCCTCGAAGAGGCGACCCCAGCGCTGCCGCCGCTCCGCATCGCCCGGGCCCCCCCGCATGGCGCCCGCCCGGGGGGGGGGAGGGGAGGCCCGGCGGTGGCGGCCTCGGTGGGGGCTTCGCGGCTCCCCCTCCCCCCCGCGGCCCCGCAGGGCCAGCTCCGCGGCCACTGCCACCGCAGCCTCCGCGCTGCCCGCCCGGCTCTGGCACTTGCAGCAGGCGGTGACTGCTAGCCGTCGCCGCCCGCGCCAGAACTTGCGTCTCCTCCCCCCCCCCCCAACCCGCTTGGGGGGAGGAGGCTGGAGGCGGAGCCGCGGGTGTGGGGCGGAATGTCGGGATGCTTTGGTAGTGCACGGGAAGCACCAGAGTTCATTCTGGGGAGGGGGGCTAGAGAGGTCAATGGTCTCAACTCTGCTTTCAGAGTTCCGCCTTGCGTGCCTCGGTTTACCCTCTGTCCAAGGGCGCGCAGTAGAGGGATATCAGGGATTTGGTTTCCTAATCCCTTTCCACTTGACCTCCCTCCCCTACTATTTCTCTTTAGGCGCTAAAGTTCTCGTTTTTCCCAGACATGCTCAAGAACCAACCTTACATCATCTAGCCCTCCATCTGCCCGCCCGCTCATTTCACATTCCCCACTCGCCCACAGAAACAGAAAATCAGGAAGCTGCTTTCTCCCTGAAACCCTACATCCCGCCCGCCAGCCTTCCTTTTCGGTCCCACTCAGACTGGGAAACGGAAGATCAACGTGCAGCTTGGCTGCAAAGTCGGTTTCCTATTGGCCAGAGCTGCCTGAGCTGCGCCCGCCCGCCCCACCTGGGCGGGGCTTCTGCGGCGGCCCTGCGCTGCCTTGGGCCCCGGCGGCTTCGGGCTGGCTGGGCAGTCTTAAAGAGGCCGCGGCCTGATCCAGTCGCTGTGCTGACTGCTCTCTCCAGACCAACCTGCGGGTCTCAGTGTCGCAGGCGCGAGTGCCGATGAAGACCGGGAAGCCGAGCGCTGGAGGCGGGGCACCAGCCTGTCGTGCTCGCTGCACCTGCCGAAAGTCCCTCCCACTAATTTCGGGCGCAGTTTCTTGAGTCACCATTAGGGGGAGGGGCGGCCAGACTACTTGGCGAAAAATAATAACAATAACTAACATTGATTCACGGCGTTGCACAATCCAGGCCTTTTACTCACCCCTCGCGTCATCCTCGCCAAAACCCTGTAAGGTAGGTGGGACTGGCTTTCCCACTTCACAGATGAGGAAACAGAAGGTTAAACTGCTCTACCCGGGCCACATGCCCAGTAAGCGGCAAAGCGGGGATTTAACCAGACCTGGAATTCTTACCCATCGCTCTATACTCTAAAAGTGATTCATTTCCCCTTAACCATTACTCTTCACCTAGAGTCCCCAGGGGGTGGAGGTCTTATTATCACCGTCCTTTATCGAAAAGTACAGCCTCACTGAGGGCACGTTTAGTTTTGAGCACAAACACACCTGTGAATCCCAGACAAATGGCCTCTTAAGGAGGTCCTAGTGGCCAGTGGTCCAGGTGGCCTCTTAGAGGTCCCCTCACAGATGTTTTCTTTCTTGCAGGTGCCCCACAACATGGGGGATACAGATGTTTTCCCAGAGAAATGCCCCAAACAGGCATTTTCTCACAAATACACCCCTGACAGGTGGGCCGCAATTCACATGAGCCTCTGTCCTGCCCCCCCCCGCCCCCGAAGCTCCCAGGTGCTTCAATATGAGTGTGCCTCATGCACATGTTCTCAGGTCTTTTTTTCATTCGATCTCAATTCCATGCAGATGTTTCTCATACGAGGCTATTTCCTTCATTTCACAGGTGTCTTTCTCAACAGAAATCCACCCAGGAATGCATTATACAGCTCCCCTCTGCCCCCACACATAGGTATGTTGCAGTTAAGTATACACCCGTCTGGGTACGTTTCCATACACCTGGGTCCTATAAGGTGTACTAAAATGCAGGTGTGTCTCGTACAGGTCTTTCCAATACATTTCCACACAGGAATTCCTCATACAAGAGTTGTTCATTTCATGGGCGAGCCATGCAGATGCGTTTCCAAAGCAAATGAATGTATCCTACACCAGAGTGCCTCAGTCAGGTGTTTGTCATAATGCAGATGTGTTCTATACAGCTGTTTTCCACACAGGTCTGCTTCCATTCAGCTATACACCACATAGATGTGATTCAATGCAGATGTCTCCCATAGGTGTCCTTACATATCCACGCAAATGTCTTCTATACAGGTTGGCTCCTAGGCAGGTGTGTACCACACGGGTGTGTCTTTATTAAGGGCCACCCATTCGGGCCTGCCCCAGACAGGCGTGCCCCATGCACCAGTGTCTCCATGCCCGGTTTGCCTCCACACTTGTGCTATCCTACAGATGTGCCCGCAATATAGGTGGGAGGTCCCTCTTACACCTGCGCGCTTGCGCCCCTTTTTACTCTTCGGTATCGTAGAGTTGGGTTCCCGTTACAGGTGCGTCCCTGGCGCGGTCCCACCCCCCCTTTGGCTCCGCCCTCTCGCTTAGGCTCAGGTGCACAAGCCGGAAGTGTGCTCCTCTCCCAGGTGAGTGACTAAACTTTCCGGGTCACGTGAGCGGGCGGAGCTGGAGGAGTCCGAGCTACCGACGGACGCACCGAGGGTTCGAGCCAGGGACCCGGACCGGGAACCTGAGCAAAGTCGAGGACGGCTGGGCCAGGTAGGGAGGTAGGACGCGCGGCCTGGCCTGCCACCCCTTCCCCCCTTCCGCTTCCCTTTCCCCAGCCCAGGAACGCGCCGCCTCGAGTTAATCTTTAATCTCTGACCTCTGGCGGCGGGGGCGGGGCGGGACTGCGGGGTGCCCTGGGCGGGTCATCCCTCCCCTGGGCCTGCGCCCGGGTCTAGCCCCCTCCCCCACGCCATTCTCTTTCTCCCGCCCCAGGTGCCGGCTCGCAGGTACCCCGGGCCCGAGATGCGGTAGAAGCAGCGCGCGCGAGAAGCCGGGTCCCCGGTGCCACCAGCCCGTCGCCCGGCCCATGGCGAGCCCCGGCCTGGGGCTGCTTCTGGCGCTCGGCCTGCCGCTGCTGCCGGCCCGCTGGGGCCGGGCCTGGGGGCAAAGTAGGTACCGGCTAGAGGTTGGGGGGGCGCGGGGCGGGGCTTAGAAGCGCGGGTTACCTGGGCCCTGGAGAGAGGTCAAGAACTGGGGAGCGGTCATGGGATACCTTGAGAGGAGTCTACAGGGTCGATCAGGGGTAGGGGCTTCCTTGGACGATTGGAGCTGGTGTAGAATTCCTGAGTTCCTGAGGAAGGCGGAATTGTGGGCTGGGGAGAGGAGCCTGTGTACCTGAGTCTCAGTGTGGTTGAAGTGTTTTGAGCGGACTGGGAGCCAGGAGGAGGCCTGCCTGGGAGGAGGCCTCTGATCCCAGGTTGACCAGGCTGGTCATAGGTGTGGACCCAACCGTTTAGTCCTTCTATTTCAGTTTCTGGAGCCTGGGGGGGAGGTGTGAGTCAGACACTCCAGGGAAACGCAGGATCCACCCAGATCCTTAAGGGCCGAGGGAGGGCTGGAGAGGTGGTGGGGGGAGGGCAGGGTCCGGCTTCCAGACACCAACCATTAGAGCAGACCCCAACTCAGCACAAACTGCAAACTACTGTAGGCTGATTGCTCACTGCTGGGCTTTGCTGGGTTGGGGGTGGCTAAAGGAGCAGAAGCGACTGGGCCAGCCCCTGCATGCAGGGCACCCCCAGTCCCTACCAGAATGGAAGACTCAGAAAAGCAGAGTTCTAACTGAGAGATGCCCAAGGAAGGTGCATTTGTGCCAAGATGGGAAGTATAGATAAGGATTAATTTGTCCTCTCTGCCCGCCCCCCCCCACAGCGCTGGACCCCCCTATAAATGAGAACGGCACCATTACACCCTCTGACCCAGGCTCTGGCTCCAATGGGGCCCTGGTGAGTTGGGCTTTTATGCAGGAGGAGGGCAACAGCAATGTTACTCAGGTATCCCACATGAAGCAGGTGAAGGGGCCCAGACTCCCAGAGGTGGCAGGTGCTTGGGAGGGGGATCCCAGGCATGGCAGGTGGGAGCCCGGGAGCCCCACATGTGATTGATGGGAATCGGGAATCCTGGGTGGAGGTACCATACCCCCCAAAATGGCAGGCGTTGTGGGGTGGGAGGTTGGTGGGGGGGGGCATTAGGAGCCCTGGATGCTTCTCAGGTGAGGGTGGACAGAATCTCCTGGCTCAGGTGGGCAACCTGTCCCCTCTACTGCAGTCCCAGGCTGCCATCACTGCCATCATTGTGGTCTTCTCCCTCCTGGCCGCCCTGCTTCTGGCCGTGGGGCTGGTGTTGCTGGTGCGAAAACTGCGTGAGAAGAGGCAGACAGAGGGCACCTACCGGCCCAGCAGCGAGGAGCAGGTGGGTGCCCGCGTGCCGCCGCCCCCCAACCTCAAGCTGCCGCCTGAGGAGCGGCTCATCTGAATGCTGGGGCCCGCTGCAGCTGCCACAACTGCCTAGGACCAGCCAGTGCTCGCTCACACACAGCAGCTGCCACCAAGACAACAGCCTCTGATGGTCCAGGAGGACTTGGGGGGGCCAGGGGGCACCTGCCTGGCAGGCTCGGTGAAGCATGCCGCCTCTGCTTGACTCTGCCTGCAGTTGGGGATGCCGGGGCTGGGGGCCCGCCTCCGCGCTTGCTGCCCCATCTCCGCTCGGCCGGCCATCCTGCTGCCACACAGGCCCGACAAATCCTCTCCTTTCTTTCAGTTCAACCATGCAGCCGAGGCCCGGGCTCCCCAGGACTCCAAGGAGACAGTGCGGGGCTGCCTACCCATCTAGGTCTCCTTTTCTATCCGTCTGCCTTGCTGTGTGACCTTGGGGGAAGGCAGAGCCCTCTCTGGGCAATCAAACCTAGCCAGTGCTTAAGAATAGAAGGGAAGAAGGTGCTTTAAAGACTCTGTCCCTGAGGGTGAGGGAGAGTGCTGCTCACATTTTATATCTATACATACAGTCAGTAGTGAGATGTAACAAAACCTTTTTCTTCTTGAGCTGACGGGGCAGGAATTAGTCTAGATGGAGGGAACAAACTCAGGACTCATAGGCTGTTGAGAGATGAACTGTAAGGTTGCAAGGATCCTAGGGCTGGGAGGGCTTCCTGGAAGGGAGGGGCTTCCAGCTGCACCTGAGAGCCAGCTGGAGGCTGCCCCAGGAGGAAGGTAGTGGATGGGGTACGTTTCTGAGCAGAGAGAGGGCCCCCAGATGAACTCACCAGGAAAACCAGCTTTGGGTTCTTGTGCTTTATTGAAGGTTTGTGGTCTCCTCCAGGACCCAGATTCTTAACCTTCAAAACACTTTTTAAGCTCAGCGACTCTGGGCCGGCTCCTAGCCTGGGGCTCCAGCCAGTCGTTGGCAGGTGCAGCAGGGGATCTGAGGGCTCCCGGCCCCTCCGGGAGCTGGAAGTGAGCGTCCTCTGCCAGCAGGACCTCAGAGGGCTGGGATCTGGGGTTCTCTGGGGAACCAGGATCTGAGGAAGAATCAAGGGGTTGGGATGTCCAGGTAATATCCAAGTTGGGCTTTGTGGGGACCAGAAGTTGGGGGCTTTCTGGAGGGCTGGAGTGGGTGGGTGCTGTGGAGAGCTGGGCGCAGGGGCTTTCCTGGGCTCTGGGATCTTCAGCTGCCTTGGGGGAAGGGGAGAGATGTAGGATTAGAAGACGGGACTCAGGGTCCCCTTGGCTGCTTGGGTCCACAGAAGCTGGTGAGGACGGGGGTGGAAGGATGATATCTTGGCTGGCCTCCAAGGCTGGCCGGGAAGTAGGGTCCTTTGAGGAGGTCATGGCATCCAAAGGCTGGAGGGTTTGCAGAGATGGCAGGTCGGCAGGTAGGGACAGGGGCTGAGGCTCTGGTGGTTTTTCCTCGTCTGGTTGCCATCTTGATCTTCCTGGTATGTCAGGCTGGGTAGGGGTGGGGAGATGGGCAAGTTGCTGGCCTTCAGATGCTGTAGGGGCTGGGAAGTCAGATGGGCCAGTGGGGGAGGACTAGGGGCTCTCACCAAGCTGAAGCAGCTGTCCGGGTCCCCTCTGTGGCAGCAGTCCAAGCTCTGGCTGGGCCGCAGGCTGCCCGTCCTGCTGGCTCCCATGCTCAGACTGTCCAGAATCTCACTCAGCAAATCCAGTTCTTCTCCGGACCCCAGGAAACTGTTGTCAAGAGCTTCCTCTGCGCATGGGTCCTGGGCATCCTCAGGGCTCAGAGCAGGTGCCCTGCGTAAGGATGGGCAGCCTCAGATGTCTGCCCAAGACCCCCAGTCCTGATTGGACTGCTCTGGAGGTTCTTGAGTTTAGGGACCATCCTCCCCATCAGTCCTGGCCTCCCACTTCCAACATTGCTGCCTCCCCAGCCTTTGAGCCTTACCCCTCCTCTAGGGACACAGAAGGTCTCTCCTCCAGCCGCCGCCTCCTGCTGGGGCGAAGGGGCCGGTTCTGCAAAGGACAGATTTGGAGGGGGCGGGGCTTCAGGAACTACAGAACCGGGTTTCTGGAGGAGGGTGAGTGTTAAGTGGGCACCAGATACTGGGGTAGGTGAGCAGGTGAGTGAGATGTCTGGGTGGAGACAGAATGGGAGGAGGACTAGGTGGTAATTCCAGGTGTGAGCATTTGCGGTGGGGTGTGTGTGTGTGGCGGGGGACACACTTACCTTTCCAAAGTGCTGGGTGATAGGCAGGCGCTGCTGCAGACGATCTGAGCGGCTGGTTAGGGACAGGGCTCTCAGGGAACCCCCCCTTTGCAGGCCAGAGTTCCCATCCTAAGAAGAGGGTGGGTAAGCCAGGAGCCCCTTCTTCATTGCCCCAGCCATTGGCCACTGGTCTTACCTTGTACGTCAGAAGGCTCTGCACACCCTTCAAGCTGCTCTTGGCCTATGGAGGAGCCAAAAGAGAATTAGATTCCACAGTGATTTGACCCTGAGCATTTGAGAACTCAGCTCTCCATCCCATAGGACAACTGTCTTGCCATCTGTTCACGTTTGTGCCTCACAGATGGTCACAGTTTTCCATGCACCATGTAAGAAGTCAACACAAACTCACCCCTTGCCTAATGCAAAAGGAGTATTCCTAGGGGACTATAATCACTGAATGAAATGGGGAGTGGCAAAAACGGAACATTGTAAAAATGTATCAGCATTCAAAAGCCAGGCAACTGAATAAAATCTAAGTTCGGAGCTGCAGAAGTTGGCCACAGGAAACTTCCGGGACCGTAATGTCTGAGGACAAAACATGTTCACCAACGAATCTGGGTTGTCACTTTCAAATAGGGAAGCAATGATCCTGACAAAAATGAGTAGGTAAATGGAGAATAAAAGCCGGAAGACTTGTTAATGGTTTAATGCTGGTTCGGTTCTGATAAAAATGTTTGCACTTTAAATGGGGGGTTAAAATGTCCTGTCCCCATGAGGGTTTGAAATGTGCCTTGTCCCCTTGTCTTTGTCATCCCAGTAAGTGGCCTATCTAATGTAGCCTCACCGAGCGGTACATGTTTTTGACAGCTGGTTGGGTCTTGGCCTTGACCGAATGCAGGAGGGCACCACCACCTTTCTGGGGAGAGAGAATGGCAAGGGAGAGAGACTTGGTACCCTGGGGTTACCCCAGACTCCACCTCCCCACCCCAGCTGTGTGATGCTGGGCAAGCCCCTCTCCCCAGCCAAGTCCCAATTTCTTCACTTCTGTCTATAAATGTGCAGAATGATGACCCTGGAGACTGTTACGGAGCTAAGTTAATCCAATAATAAACACTAAACAAAGTGTTCGGTGTTACTACCTTTAGGTTGTCTGCCCAGAGCTGGTAGGAGCGAAGAGTGCCTGCAATGAGGAGAGCTGGTCATGGCTGGTGGCCTGAGGCTGGGGTACTGGTGGGGCGGGGGTTTCGGCCTAGGCACAGGGCTCACCTGAGGAGGCGTCGCTGCAGGTGATCTCCTGCTCAAAGAGATCTGAGAAGCCCTCTCCTGTGTTCAGCTTCTCCAGGCGGCCTTCGATGAACTGGGGGTGGGGGAAGGGTCAGAAAGGGCTGCCACCAACACCTCTGAATTCGAGGACTCAGGATTCTGCTGGCCTTACACATGCAGAAGCCATCCCTGGCCCCTCCAGGGACTCACCCCTAGGACTCGGGAGTCTGGAGCCACCTCAGGAAGCCAGAAGCCCAACCCTCTCCCCCGCCACCCCAGTCAGGACCTGTCAGGGACCAGACCCCGCCCCTCATAGGGACCCGGAAGTCGGACTCTGACGCTCCTGACCGGCTCCCCACTCCTTTCAGTGATCCTGGAAGAAGTCGACCTCACCTTCAGGGACCCGAGAACCCATCCCCGCACAGATGGGCCCTAGAGCTCTATCCACCTCCAAGAACCCAGGAATCCGGCTCCACTTCTCCCCCACGTCCCTGTAACCCCGGAGTCCCCGCCCGCCTCCTCCCCAGCAAGGGGAGTGCACACTCGGGACACACCCCTTTCAGAGTCCCGCACGTACACCCACTCCCGCCCCGGATGCTCCATCCTTAGGGACCCAGGGATTTAATCCCACCTCAATCTCCCCAGGAACCTGGGAGTAGATCTTATCCCCCAGGAGTCGGGGGCTCCCATCTTTAGGGAAACGGTAGTGCAGTCATGCCTCCCCCACCCGGGGACCTTGAAGGGTGGGACCCCGCCGGACCGACTCTAGTCTCCCCTATAGGACTCAGGCTTCCGTCCCTGTAGCTCCGGCTCGCCCCCCAGGGACCCAGGATTTTCAGCTCCAGCCCCGCCCTAGCCCCGCCCTAGCCCCGCCCCCGGCCTCGGCCCCGCCCTCACGGTTCTGGCGCACCTGTTTGAACAGCTGCAGGTGCACAGCCCGCCGATGGAAGGCCTGCAGGGGCGCCCCAGGCTTCTGGGCCAAGAAGGCTTCTTCGCTGAAGGTCACAGGCTGGCCCTAGAAGAAAGACCCTGAACTTCCCATCTGAACTTTCGTGGCTCTCCTGGACCCCAGCTATCTCCCTTATTGTATCATATGTCTATGCAGCAAACGTAAAATGGGACCATAATGGTATCTATCTCATCATACAGTTGTGAGCATTAAACGAGATACAGTGACAGTAAAACCTAGCCTTCAGCGAGTGCTCCCGATGTGCTAGGCACTATCCAAACATTTTGCATATGCCCATTCATTGACTCACATGACCCTTTTGTGTGGGTACTAATGGGATCCCATTTTGCAGATGAGCAAACAGAGGCACAGAGTAAGCACTCCATAAAGGCTAGGTATTATTATCATTAATTATTATTATTATTATTAATCCTTCAGGGACCCACGAGGCCTCTCCCTTGGCCTCCCCGCTGCTCACCGGGCTGCAGATGAGCGCATCGCGGTAACCCCCGAAGAGCAGGGCCTGGGCTTTGAGGAAGAGACGGGACACCCCTTCCCCCGGCGCCAGCGCAACCTTCCTTAGCTGAAGCCTCAGCAGGGACACCTGGGGGACAAGGGGAGGCTGTGAGCCGGCAGATGTGGGGCCTTGGCCTCCTCGACGTGGCAGGAACACAGAAGGCGGTGACACTGACCACGTCTGGGGGCAACGCTTGCACGTCGTCGAAGGGCGTCTCCAAGGTATTGGAGTCCACGTTCATCACCACGACCTCCTCCAGGGCTTTCTCCCGCACTCTCTGCGTCGGGGAGTGGGGGTGGGGACGGCCGCTCAGAGCCCGAGGATCTCTGGCGGGGGGCGGTTATTTGGGGATGCAGGAGGAGGGGAATCCCGTCCGCCGCTGCGATCCCGGTCTGCTCCCACTCACCTCGGCGAGACTGGAGTGCACTCCGATGAGGTAGGGCATGGGCGCACTGCAGACGACCGAGGGGACAGGGTCATGCAGGCGCCGCCCCACAGTCTCCAGGACCCCAGGCCTCTTCCCCAAGTCCTGCGGCTCCCCGGTCCCCGCCCCTCACCAGCAGTAGTCTAGCAGATGCGGCGGCAGCGTGGGGATCAGTACGTGCTCCCAGTGCATGGGGTACAGGAGGGCGCAGGACGCGTGGACGCACGATGTCAGCTGGGGATACGTAGGGGGCCGTGGAGTCAAGGCCTGGACCCCACCCCCCGACCTCCCCCCACCCCCCGGCCTCCCCCCCTTCCCCAGCTTCAAGGACCCTCTTCTGGACGGTGGCTCTCCCGGCTCCATTTCCCACGTCCCCAGTCTCCTGTCCCTATCTCCCCCTCCTCGCCCCTTCCCCACCCACTACTGGGTAAGAGGTGAAAATTCAAATCCCTTTAGGAATCCTGTGAAGACCAAGAATTCGAGAAGTTACAGTGTTTGGAGCTCGTGGGGCCACCACTCAGCGGGTCCCAGTCGCTCCCTTTAGGGGGCGGAGCTAATATGCAACACTCCGGATCTCTCCCCTCAGGGGTAGAACAGCCCAGTAACTCCACCCTCAAAGAGGCGGAGCTAGAATTCAGCTCCCTTGGTCGCTAGGGGTGGAGCCGGCATTCGTCCTGCACTCGCGACCTCCGCCCTCCCCTTAGGGACAAAACTAGTTTAGCGCTCCCCGATCCAGCCCTCCAGAGGGGCGGAGCCAGTCTTGTTTCGGCCCCTAGTGGGTGGGGTCTGGACTAAGCGCTCCCGGAGAGGGGGCACTACAGCGCGGCCCACTCTGATTCCCCCCCCCAGAAGGGCGGAGCCAGGATCCAGCTCAACTCTGATGTTCAAAGGGGCAGAGCCAGGACTTTGCCTCAAGTCTCGCCCAGTGGAATTAGAGCCAGGAATCCGCCCCGCGGTCCCGCCCCCCGAGGGGCGAAGCCAGGCCTTGGCCCCACCCCGGCCCGGCTGGCCCCGCCTCACGGTGCTCAGCTTGCTGGCGATCAGTAGGACCCTTCTTTCCGCCAGGAGCGCGGCGAACAGCCCCACGATGTTCTCGTCGGTCACCGCCACCACCAGCTCCGTTAGGTTCCTCTGAGGGTCGGAGAGAAGCGCTGGGCGCGAGGGACCGCAGGATCCGACAGCCCCTTCTGGGTTTCGGGACCTCTCCCCGCCCCCAGGACTCCCTCCCAGGTGTCCACTCACGTTCTCAGGAATGGATGGCAGGCGGCCGGAGTCGGGGGCTACGAAGCAGGAAAGCTGGAGGGGGGCGATGGGCGGGGGCACCGATCAGTCAGGGGTCGGCCTCACTTGGGTGCCCAACCTAACAGGGTCCCCAGTTCTCACCGGCCTGCTGTTCCCGGGAGCAGGGGGAGGGATGCTTTGTGCCCTGGAGACTGTCACTCCGTTGCCCTGGGAGAGAGGTGTGGCTGTGGGGTCCTCAGGGCTGGGGTCCTCAGGGTTGGGGCGCAGCCTCCCCATCCACCCGAGGGGGTCACCCAGAAGCTGGGGGCTACTCACCAGCTCGATGGAGGCCTGAGTCCCAGGCAGGGGCTGCTGCAGCAGGTTTAGAAGAAATCCCTCGACCTCAGAGACCTGGGTGGGAGCGGGGTGTCTGAGCCAGGACGTGGGCTGGGGATTCTGACGGGGGCGGAGTGGTCTGGGAGGAGCCGAGGGTCTTAGGTCAGGCCTGGGGGTTCTGAGCCTGGCTGGGGGCTTGGGAGGGTAGGGCTGGGACTCCCACAGGAACAAGAAGGGGGACTGGTCTTACTTGGTCCTGGGCCAGGAGATCGCCCACAGTGTTCAGCAGCTTGTAGAACACCTCAAACCAAGGCAGGTGGCTGTGGGGAGAAGATATAGGTTCTATGAAGTACCCCTAGGCCAAGGCCCTTCCCACCCCCACCCCAGAGCCCCATACCCCACACCTGAGGATGCAGAGGCAACTGTGGGCACCAGCCCGGAGGTGGCAGAAACCAAATTGGCGGGTGCCGCTCAGGTCGGTGAGGGCGAAGGTGAAATGTTGTACAGCTGGGCTGGGGGGCTCCCTGCAGGTGGGAAAGGCTCTCAGAAACCTGAGGGTCCCAGCTCCCTGATCCGTCCCCCGCCAACACTCCTAGTACTGTGTCCACCAGTCTGAGACTCTGGGTGTACAGGTTCTTAGCTGTCGGGGTCCCTGAGCGCCTGAGTCCCTGGGTCCCTGGTTGTTTGAATCCTGGGGGTCTCTGAGAGTTCTGAGTCCTTTGGTCCTTGAGCGTCTGCTTCCATCCGTACCTTTCCACATCAAAAGGGAAGCAGAATTTAGGCACCATCTGCATAGCCTCCTGGGGATGGAGAGAAGCACACACTGCTTGACCACCCAGGTTGGGCAGACACGGATAGAATCACAAACACACACACACACTTGTCTTGGGCCAAGACAGTCTCTTCCCCTAGGGGGACCGGCCCGGGTCCAGGGGAGCAAAGAGCCGGCCTGCATACCTGGTCCCTGAAGTCTGGGGGGAACTGCCGCAGGATGGGGGGATCTGCAGGAGAGCAGGCTTCTAAGTTCAGGGCCCCAGGCCCGCCCCCATGTCCCCAGTCCCACCTGAGGACCCCAACTCACCCTCCTGCAGGGAGGCAGGGCAGGCTGCTTCAAAGAACCAATCGAACATGGCAGGTGGATCTCCTCTGTGGGACAGGACACGGGGGACATGGCTTAGCGAGTCCAGGGGCTTGCTTCTGTGTATGTGGTCGTGTGTACGTGTGTCTGCAACTCCGCGTGCAACTGCGTGTGGTGCCCTCAGTGACTTGCGGCAGTGTATATAGGTTGTGTGATGCAGTGTGAACAATGGCGTTGATTGTGTGTGCATGGCTGAGCGGTATGGAGCAGAGTGTGAGCGTGACTGTGTGCGTGTGTCTGATTATGTGCTGCGTGACCGGTGTGAGCATGCAGGGGTGTGTGTGTGTGTTCGTGAGTCTATCCGTGTCTGCCTGACTGTCCAGTGTCCAGCGGGAGTGGGAGTGTGTGCGACCAAGCCAGCGTGAGGATGACTAGCATCTGCAATTTCTTGCATGGCTGCGAGTGTGGCTGGGTCAGTGTGTGTGCATCCCTGCGCTCTTCCTGAGAGCGAGAGGCCCTGCCCATGTGTCTCTGTGTGGGAGACTTCATGGTGCCCCGGGGACTGACCCCAAATTTCTCATCAGAGCAAGGAGGGCCACATGCCCTCGTACTTCTGTGAGCCCTGCACCCTCTGCCGTGCTCCCTCGTCCCCCACTCTGCCCACCCCACAGAAGATGCTGGGACTTGGACTCAGGGGGAGCAACGGTGAGACCTGAAGAGAGGCAGAGGACAGGATGGGGACTGGCTGCAGACACACACAGTCCCCGACACCCTGACACGGGAATCCCCAGCACTTCACCCTCATGCCCACGCGGTCCCACACAAGCGCCCAGGCACAAGGACCCACACAATCTTCTCTCACCTCCCCGTCCCCTGCTGGCCCCCCGAAGCCATGTTCCCCATCTCTCTGATACACCAAGAGGTACCTGCTCAGAGTTACAGACTTAGGCAGAGCCGGAAGGAGAAAGAGAGAGAGAGAGGGGGAAGAGGGGCTGAGAGTGGCTTGAGAGTCGAGTTCACACTGCAGGCCCGCTGAGAGACCTGCCCCAGACCCAGCCACCTGCCCCTGTGCCTCACAGCGCCTCCCGGGCCTGCCCTGGCCCAGCTCCCCTGGCCCCAGCCCAGGCCTGCTCTGGGAATCTTGGTCCAGAGAGTCGGGGAGGGTGCAGCTCTTACTCAGCTTTGGATCCCATGGTCCCTGCAGGGCCGCCGGCGGCGGCGGCAGGGCCCTTGCCCCAGGGGTCCTGGGGGCCTGTGCTTGCGCAGGGCTGGGCCCTGAGCCCGCTCAACTTCCTGTGTGGCCGGGAGAGGAAGTTTGACGGGTGACGTCCCAGGAGGGAGGCCCCCGCCCCCACCCACTGTGAGAGACCCAGGCATCCTGCCTCCCAGCCTTCTGAGGGTAGGGTGGGCATGGGTGGCGGGCTCGGAGGCTAGACCCCCAGCACCGTCCTGCCAGGCCAGGGCACCTCTGGTCCCTGACATCCCACCCAAGCCTTCCTCTCTCTGGGACAGCCAAAGATTGACAATTTGCCTAAAATGCTTCCTCTTTCCTCAACTCTTCTTTCCTTTGGCCTATCTGCACTGGCCATTCCCTATAGGACCACCAGAGGGAGCCAGGCTGGAGAGCGGACACAGGGGAACCAGGGAGGTGGACAGACAGCAGACAGAGCGTAGTCGCGGACACAGACTGAGGAGTGCAGAGGGACAGCACACATACGGAGCAGTCCTTGCCCAGCCATGTGATGGATGCAGAAGTGACACCCAGGTGCAGCCAGCAGACAGTTTCCAGACAGAGACAACAGACCACAGCTGTGGGTACAGACAGGACAGCGGAGATACAGATCTGGATAAGAGACAGAAGCGCAGAGAGCTCAGATACAGATAGAGCAGTAACAGAGGGGCAGACGTGGTCAGGACCCGGCCACGAGCCAGAGTCATAGCCAGACAGAGTCACACACACGGAGGGAGACACATCCAGACACCCCCAAGCAGAGCTGCAGACTCAGAAAGAGACAGAATGCAAGTGGACAGATGGCTACATTGTCCTTGGGAAGCACAAGGACACACTTTCAGGCACAAAGGTACCTATGGTCACGCACACACACATAAAATCCCACAGTCAGACTTAGGGAGTCCAAATTCAACAGAGTCTGCAAGACTCCTCAGCCTCCTGAAAGATCCTGAGAATGTCTATATGGATATAGGTGTGCATGGGCAAGAATCTGCATGCCTGGCATGTCCCGGGGAGTCTGGAGGTGAAAGTCTGTGTGGCTGTGGGATCTGTGTCTAGTCCATCAGGCTGTGTAAAGATGCTGGTGACTGGGGATTCTCATTCTGTGCGTGTCTGTTGTGACCATGGGTGCAAGGTATTTCCATGCCAAGGAGTGGGGGCTGAGCAGGTGCGCAAGCATGTGAACACACACACACACACACACATACACACACACCTGTAAAGCCTCCAGCCAAGACACAGGTGGATGAGGCTAAACAGAGAGCTTGGTGCCCCTTTTCTCTCCAGGGAGGCTGGACCACGACCCAGGGCTGGGGATGCATGGTGCAGAGTTCTTGCCTTTCTCTCTTCTCACACTCTTAGACCTTGCTAGAGACTGAAATGCTTGTGTCCTGCGCCCAATTCACATATTTAATCCCACCCACCCCCAAGGTGATGGTATTAGGAGGCGGGGCCGGTGGGAGGTGACCAGGCCATTATGAGACCCCAGAAAGCTCCCTCGTCCCTTCTGCCATGTGAGGACATCGTGAGAAAACATCTGTCTCTATGAACCAGGGAGTGGGTCCCCACTGGACATGGAATCTGTCGGTGCCTTGAACTTGGACCTCCAGTCTTGAGAACCATGACAAATAAGTGTGTGTTGCTTAGAAGCCGCCCAGTCTGTAGCATTCCTTTATAGCAGCCCTGACGGACTAAGGCCCGGAGTCTGCAGAGGCCTCCTGAGTCCCTCTTCGTTTCTGAAATCCACTCCAATTCAGAACAAATGCCCGATGGCACACCAAGGAGATGGAGCTAAAAGAAGAGTTTACGCCCCTGATGTGTGATCTCAGAGTGGGATTCTCTGCGCAGCTCAGTTAGTGCATCCGGAACATAAAGTGGATATGGTGCCTGTCTCACAGATCCATGAAGGCTCAAGAGAGAATTCATGTAAAATGTTTAGTATGAGGCCTGAATCAAGCTTTTGATATGCTCTGTCTGTTATTGTGGGAGGAAGGTCAGCTGAGTGGTTAAGAAAATGATTTTGGAGTCAGAGAGACCTGGGTTCAAAGGCCTGGCTCTGTTATTTAACATCTGTGGGATCTTAGGCAAGTCATTTGACCTCTCTGTATTAATTATCGATTGCTGTGTACTTTCCATGCCTTCGTTCTTCTCACTGTAGAATGAAGAAATCAGGACATCTACAGTGCACTTGCTCATTCATGCAACAAAGAATTACCGAGGGCCTGTGTTGCATCAGGCTGTTCTAGGCACATGGCGACCAAGGTAGACAAGATTTCTGTCCTCCTGAAGCTTACATGCCAGTGGGGAGGCAAGAGGACAGACAAAAGAAACAAGTGTATAAATAGACAAGATAATTTGTGAGTTAGCAATAGGTGCTACCAGTGAAATGAAACAAGATAGCAGATGGAGAGGGGCTGGGTGCTAATTTCCGTTTGCCAAGGGCAGGCTGTTCCGAGGAGGTGACATTTGAATGGAAGCCTGTAGACCAGAAGTGGCCAGTCGTGAGCACCTCTGGAAAAAGTAGAGGAACAGCATGCACAAAGGCCCTGAGGTTGACTCAAGCGTGATTGGATTGAGCACAAAAAGGTCGCTGCCGTTTCAGCTTAATGAGCGTGGGGGAGGGTGATAGGGATGTAGTCAGCAGTGGGTAGAGACCAAGGTGAGAGTCTGGGTTTCAGTCTGAGTGTGAGGGGAGTCATGGGAAGGTGTGAGCCGGGGAGGGACAGGCTCTTATTTGCATATAAAGGCTCCTCTCTGGCTACAGTAGAAGGAGGACTCACTTCAGGATGGCTGGAGTGGCAGCAGGGAGTCTAGGGAAGCCATTGCGGGAGGTTTCTGGATGTGGAATAATGGTGGCTTAGTCCAGGGTATAGACAAGTGGGGAGAAGGGGTCAAATTTGGGATACATTCTGGAGACAGAGACAACCAGATCAGCAAAAGATAGGAAGTGTGTGCTGGGCATACATATGAAAGAAGGAATCAAGGCTGACTGCTAGCTTTGGGGTTTGAGCAACTGGATGGTGCCATTTATTGCAGAAGGGGATGTTTTGGGAGTAGAAGAGGGAGTTCTTTTGTGGCCATGTTAGGTTTGAGATGATAAAGAGAGCCAAGTTCACTGCCTCGTCCATTGTCTTTCTGCTCCACCACCCAGCACTGTACTGTGCCCGCTGAGCTGTGGGTTGAGGGGGCTGGGTACCCAGGCTGTCATCCCTACACTTCTTCCTCCTGGCTGCGGTGGGACCCAGCCAGGGGGCTGGAAGGCCAGTCTGGTTCTGGTGGCCGAGCTTAGAGTGTGGTGGGAAGAGCTGACTGGCTCTCAGCATCTCTCCTCCTGGTTTGCCTGCCTTTGGTATCGCAGAAGTGAGAAAATTTAAAAAACAAAACAAAACAATTCCTAGACTTCTTTCCAGCTTTGGTTCTGGATGCAGATGAGGTTCTACCAACTAGAAATGCTCATAAGATTTGGAAGGCAGAGTGAGGCAGAACTCTCTCTCTGTGTGTACCTATTTCCAGCTTTGTGGGTGTTGGGAGGTGTGCTTGGATTCAGTAATTCTGGTGGCAGCCTCTTGATTCTCCACCTTTCTCACTGAGCAGAGGAAGCAGTTCCCTGGTGGCTGAACTCTGTGATGTTCCAGCCTATTCCAGCCTATTCCAGGGCTATTCAAAATGTGGTCTCATGGGCAGCAGCATCACCATCACCTGGGAGCTTGTTAAAAATGCAAAGTCTGGGGGCGCCTGGCTGGCTCAGTTGGTGGAGCATGCAACTCTTGATCTCGGGGTGTGGGTGTGAGCCCTGCGTTGGGTGTAGAGATTACTTAAAAATAAAATCTTAAAAAAAAAAAAATGCGGTCTTGGGCCCCACTCCTGCAAACCTACTAAACCAGGAACTCTGGTGGAAGCTGTGCTCTGGCCAAGTTTTCCTGGTGATTCTTTTTTTTTTTTTTTTTTTACTTTTTATTATTTTTTTAAAAACGTAAGCTCTATACCCAACCCAGGGCTCGAACTGATGACCCTGAGGCCAAGAGTCATGTGTTCTACCCACTGAGCCAGCCAGGTGCCCCTTCTTGGTGATTCTTTTGCACACTAAAGTTTAAAAAATACTGGCCTACAGCCCACTCTCTCAGTCCCTCCAGCAATGCGATAAGCCCCTAAATCCTTGTATTAAATCCTTTTCTGCTTAACATGCCTGCCACCGTCCTTGCTCTGAGCATTGGCTGATTAAGAGGAATCAGAGTTCTAGACTTAAATGTGTCAGAGCTTGAGCCCCAGCTCACCACTTAATAACCATGGGATTTTGGGCAAAAGACTCTTTGTGGCAAACTGCGATTTCCAGAGATGGTCACAGCCTTATCTCCCATCCCATATGCCCTTCTGGTATCTAGCCTCTCTACCCTCAAGAGGTGGAGTCTACGTCCCATCCCCTTGAACCTGGGTAGACCTTTGTGACCCTGTCGACTAGGAGTCCAGAGGGCAGTGTGTGACTTCTGAAGCTAGGTCAGAAAAATGCTGTGTATTCTGCCTTGCTCTCCTGGGATGGTTGCTCATGGGGAACCAGCCACCGTGCTGTGAGGATGCCCCAGCAGACTATGGAGGGGAAGTGATGCCCTCCTTCAGCCCGCCCCTTCTAAACAAATGGAGGCTCAGAGAGAGCAAGTGGCTTACTTCACATGGTTAGCTAGCTGTGTAGCCTGCTCTGTGGGACGCTGAAATCTCTGCCCCGCTCCCCACCAGCCCCAGATCAGATGCCCCTTCCCCACCCACTTCCATCCCATCCCGGGAGGCTCACTTGCTGACCCTCCCGCAGGGAGATGAAAAATGCACTGGGCAGAAACAGGGCAGGACGAGTTTATTGCAGGTGAAGCAGAGGAGAGGGGGGCGGGGAGGCTTGAGGGCACAGCGCCCTTGGCTCACATGCTCCCAGGCTGCAGCAGAGGGAGCCCTCCCCCACCTAAAGGAGGTTGGCAAGAGCTGAGGGGCGGGAGTGGGGGGGGGGGGAAGAAAGGGGAGGGGCGGCCAGGGGAGCCAGAGATAAGGCAGAGATAAGAGGGGAAGAAGGGCTCTTGGTGTCAAAGGTGAGGCCAGGTCAGAGGCGAGGGGAAGCTCAGCAGGAGGGGTCCACGGTAAACTAGGACTCCTAGGTCTGGGGGCACAATGGGGTTCGTGGGGGAGGTCCGAGGTGAAGGAGAGAGGAGAGGTCGGGGTGAGGGAAGGCTCCTGGAGCTCAGGGTGAAGCGAGGCTCACGGGTCAAAGGTCAGCTGCCCCCCCCCCCCCCCCCCCCCCCCCCGCTCCCCTCGAGCGGAAGCAGCGAGGTTCGTGGGGGCGGCGCTGGCCTGGCGGGCCGCCCTAGGCCACCTCCTCCTCCGCCTCCTCCTCGAACTCGCCCTCCTCGGCCGTGGCGTCCTGGTACTGCTGATACTCGGACACCAGGTCGTTCATGTTGCTCTCGGCCTCGGTGAACTCCATCTCGTCCATGCCCTCGCCCGTGTACCAGTGGAGGAAGGCCTTGCGCCGGAACATGGCCGTGAACTGCTCCGAGATGCGCTTGAACAGCTCCTGGATGGCCGTGCTGTTGCCGATGAAGGTGGCGGCCATCTTGAGCCCCCGGGGTGGGATGTCGCACACGGCCGTCTTGACGTTGTTGGGGATCCACTCGACGAAGTAGCTGCTGTTCTTGCTCTGCACGCTCAGCATCTGCTCGTCCACCTCCTTCATGGACATGCGGCCGCGGAAGACGGCGGCCACGGTCAGGTAGCGGCCGTGGCGCGGGTCGCAGGCGGCCATCATGTTCTTGGCGTCGAACATCTGCTGCGTGAGCTCGGGCACCGTGAGGGCCCGATACTGCTGGCTGCCGCGGCTGGTGAGCGGCGCGAAGCCGGGCATGAAGAAGTGCAGGCGCGGGAAGGGCACCATGTTCACGGCCAGCTTGCGCAGGTCGGCGTTCAGCTGGCCCGGGAAGCGCAGGCAGGTGGTGACGCCGCTCATGGTGGCCGACACCAGGTGGTTGAGGTCGCCGTACGTGGGCGTGGTCAGTTTCAGGGTGCGGAAGCAGATGTCGTACAGGGCCTCGTTGTCGATGCAGTACGTCTCGTCCGTGTTCTCCACCAGCTGGTGCACCGACAGGGTGGCGTTGTAGGGCTCCACCACCGTGTCCGACACCTTGGGCGACGGCACCACGCTGAAGGTGTTCATGATCCGGTCCGGGAACTCCTCGCGGATCTTGCTGATGAGCAGCGTGCCCATGCCCGAGCCCGTGCCCCCGCCCAGCGAGTGGGTCAGCTGGAAGCCCTGCAGGCAGTCACAGCTCTCGGCCTCCTTCCGGACCACATCCAGGACGGCGTCCACCAGCTCGGCGCCCTCCGTGTAATGGCCCTTGGCCCAGTTGTTGCCGGCTCCCGACTGGCCTGCGGACGGGAGGGGAGGAGAGGGGAGCGGAGGGGAGGGGGCATGCCGGGCGGTTACGGGGAGGGCTCGCCCTCAACGCCACCCCGGCCATCCTAGCAGTTGAATAACGAAATTGTTATTTCATCAGTATCCTTGTCAGTCCTTCTCTCTGCTTCCGTATTTGCTTCTCTTCATCCAGCAGCCCAGAGGGATTCTGGTGAAACTGGAACCGATTCATGCCCCACTTTGGCTCAAAGCCATCCTGCTCTAGCTCAAAAACCAGCTCCATCTTTGGGTAAAAGCCCAAGTCCTCCCCTCAGCCTGAAGGCCCTGCAGGACCTGCCACTTCCAACCCCCTGCCCTCACCTCCTCTTTCCCTGCTCTGGCTCACTCTGCTCCAGCCACAGGGTCCTCCTTGCTGTTGTTCAAATACACCTGGGCACAGTCCTGCCCCAGGGCCTTTGCGCATGCATTCCGTCGGCCTGATCCGCAGATGCAGATACCACGTGACTCTCTCACCGCCTCAAGGGCTTTGTCGCCCTCAGTGACGCTCTCCCTGATCACGCTATATACAACTGCAACCGTTCCCATTTTTTATTCCTCTTCCTTGCTTATTATTTTTTCCCCCAAAACACTGACAAACCTATGCTGTCTTATTAATCATGTTCATTGTCTGCAATCTTACAGGGAAGTGTGAGAGCTCCAGGAGGACAAGGATTACTATTAGAATAGGGGCTGGTATTTTGACGAAAAGGTAACATTTCTCATCCCCTCCTCTGACTCCACCCTGGTCTGATCTCATCAACCCTGTCCTGGACTGGTTCCCACCCTCATCTCCATCCTATACCCCCAAAGTCGGTTCTCCTCCAAGCAGCCAGAGGGCGCCTGTGAGCACCTGAGTCAGGTCCTATCCGGCTAACCAAAACCCTCCAGGGCTCCCACCCCCTCAAGATACACGCCCAAGTCCTCCCTGCAGCCCACAGGGCCCTGAATAACCTGCCCCCACCCTGTCACCTCCCTGCACTCGCCTCCTCCCTCTCTCCCCCTTGCTCAATCTGCTCTGGCCACACAGACCTCCTTGCTGTTTCTCTGGCACACCAGGCCTGATGCCGCCCCAGGACCTTTGCACCTGCTGTTCATGGGATGCCCTTCCCCCCAGGTATTCACACGGTTGACTCTTCCTTCAGGTCTCTGTGCCATGTCACCGCCTCAGAGAAAACAGGATGGCCAGGCACGCTGGCTCCTGACTCCACACTTTTACCACTGCCTCCCCCACCCTCTCTCCCAGGGGCCATAGAATCTCTTGGCCCCAATGGAGCCATCCATGGTCATCCTAGAATCCCTCACACCCTTTGGCCAACATTATTTAGTCCTTCCACAGCCAGACCCTGAGGACGTATTGTATGCCATACCCACGCAGGAGCATCATTATCTTGCTGAATCATCACACAGACCAGAGAGGGGAAGTCGCTGTCCAAGGTCACACAGCTTGTCGTGTCAATGCCTAGACTTCAGACTCCATAAACCTGCTCTGGGGAAGAGAGGTGCCCGGGGTGCTGGGGGAGAGGGTGGAGCTTGGGGTCTGAGGCCAGGTGGGCGTATGCAGCCAGCCTGACCTAGGAGGCACTGGGAAAGGTTTCAGAGAAAGATGTTCACAGAGTGTGCTTGCTCCTTGAACCTGAGTGCCGCAAATGTGTCTGTTGTCTTCATTTGCTGTTCCCTCTGTCTTGTACATCTTTCCTCTCTTCAGTGCCTCTTGGTCAGCCTGGGTCCTACTCATATTTTAGACTGCAGATATCGATGATGACGATGAAAACAACACATGCTTATTTACCTTTTGCTCTCTGTGAGGCATTGTTCTAAGTGCTTTACGCATATTAATGGCTTTAAGCCTCTCGATCCTGATGAGTAGGTCTTTTTATAACCCTTGTTTTAAAGATTTGGAGACTGGGGCACAGAGAGGTTAAAGAGCCCAGCTAAAGTCCTCCAGCTGACTCAGTCAGTGGCTGAGTTTTACTTATTTATCTTCTCTGTTGCCCATCTCCCTCCACCAGGAGGTTGGGTCCAGTGGGGTAGTGAGTTTCGTCTGCTTTGTCCATCTGGGGGTAAGAGTAGGACCTGGCATGCGGTAGGTGCTCAATAAGTTATTTGTGGAATGCATGAAATGGCAGAGCTGGTATTTTCACCCAGGCAGTCTGGCTCTGGTCCATACTGTTAAATTAAAATGCCACCTCCTCCAGGAAGCCTTCTCTACACCCTCCCCCATATCAGATGTCTGTCCTGGGCTCCCACAGTGGCCTGTATGTCCCGCGTCACAGCCCTGACTGCCCTGTCCGCCTCCCCCACTGGGCCGTGGGTCCCTGTGATTACCACGGAGTCTCCCATGCTATGTGGAGACTTTTCACCAAGCATTTGGAAGTGAAGGAACAAGGGGGCTTCCCATGCTTAGAACTCACCAAACACAAAGTTGTCAGGCCGAAAGATCTGGCCGAAGGGGCCAGAGCGGACAGAGTCCATGGTGCCAGGCTCCAGGTCCACCAGCACGGCTCTGGGAACGTAATTTCCTCCTGCAGGGAAGCAGATGGAGGGCAGCTGGGGTGCGGGAGTGCCAGGAACCAGCATCCTGCTCCCTCCCGTCCTCCCCACCCCCACTCCTGCAGGTGCCCCACGCCCAGCCCTACCTGTGGCCTCATTGTAGTACACGTTGATTCTCTCCAGCTGCAGATCACTGTCCCCGTGGTATGTGCCCGTGGGGTCGATGCCATGCTCATCACTGATCACCTCCCAAAACTGGAGGGATGGTGGTGGTTAAGGGCAGAGGGAGGGGACACAGGAGGCCAGGCCTGTCCCTGCCTCTGCGCCCACGACCTCCCACCACCTCCCTAGCTGCTACCTGTCCCCCAGCAAGGTGAATGGGGGACCCAGAGGCATGGTGGGGAGGCAGGGATGAGGCAGCAAGAAGGGAGAGGTGGGGGCGGGGTGGAGCAGAGTCATCACCTCAGTCTAGTCTGCTGGTGTCAGCTCGCCTAGGCTGCAGCCGCGGGGAGGGGCAGGGTCTCTTTGTGCGTGTGGAGAGGACAGTGGGCCAGCTGTGAAGCCAGCTGTGGCCAGCGGACGGAAGGCTGGGCCCCACCCCCATCGCCCTCTTTGTTCCCAGCCTGGCCCTGCCCCTGCCCTCCTCCCCCAGCCGTCCCTGGGCTGCTGGCCTCCTTGGGGACCCCATCCCTCCGAAAGGCCCAAGGTGGGGGAAGCTCTGCGGAGCTGGTGGACCCGCTCCGCTCCTCTCGGCCGCCTCCGGCGCCCCATCCCCCGCGCACCTTGGCCCCGATCTGGTTGCCGCACTGGCCGGCCTGCAGGTGCACGATCTCCCGCATGGCGGTGGTGCTGATGGTGGACGCGGCGGCGGCGCTGATGCGGGAGCTGCAGCGGCGGCGGCGGCGGCGAAGCACGGGCCCTGCGCCCCCGGGGCGCCTCTATATGAGCGGGCGGGGCCCGCGTCACGGCCGGTCACCGGCCCGCTCCGCCCCCTGGTCCCGCCCCGGGACGGAGGGTGCGGGGGTGGAGAGATCTCCTCCCCCCCCCCCCACCCCACCCCCCCAGCGGCCGGGAGACCTCCGGGGGCACGGGCTGGGGCACGCCAGAGCGCCGTGCACCCCCACCGCGGGCCGTGGGGTGAGACCCCTCAAGCTCCACCATACCATCTCCTCCCTCCCACCGGCTCCCAGCCAGGCCTGGCGACCCGGGTCCTGCGGAGATTGGGCGGGGGAAGGGAGAGCGCCGGGTAAACAAGCAGCCGAGACAGCCGGCCTCCCCCCGCCCCTCCTCCCGCCCGGGGCGGCCCTGCCTCAGTTTCTCATCCGTGGCCTGCCTCCCCATTCCGTTTAGGTCTCGTTTGCCAGAACCCTTGCGTCAACCGAGAGGACTCCTAGTGGGCCCGTCTGGGGGCTCCGGAGTTGCGGTCTGTTTTGGGAGGGGGGCGGTCGGTCCCTGGAGGACTTGTCTTGAAGCTGCATGGTAAGGAACACCACGATTTTTCTTCCACGTTTAGCTGGAGATGTTTGTGGAAGCTGATGGAAGTTGTAGGGAACAGTGCGCTCCCCCTGGACACCTCTGTTGGGCTTTGGGTCCGTGGCAGGTGGGCTCGGCTCCAGCCTTGTCTGGGGTTGAACATCAAGGAGTAAGACTTACAGCTGGAATACACACGGAGTGGATGGGGAGCCCCTGGGGGCTCCTTTGCTCCCTCCCCTCCCCCCCCATAGGCACCTCTCTGCTCCAGTGTTGTCATTCATTACAAGCCCTCGCCCTAGCTTTGCATTTCTTGTTAGCTATATGACCTTGCACAGGCCATTTTGTTTTTGGCTGAATTTCCTTATCTGCAAGATGGGGCGGTCAAGAATGCCCTCCTTCTAGGGCGCCTGGGTGGCTCAGTTGGTTGAGCGACTGCCTTGGCTCAGGTCATGATCCCGGAGTCCCTGGATCGAGTCCCGCATCGGGCTCCCTGCTCGGCAGGGAGTCTGCTTCTCCCTCTGACCCTCCCCCCTCTCATGTGCTCTCTCTCATTCTCTCTCTCAAATAAATAAATAAAATCTTTAAAAAAAAAAAAAAAAAGGAATGCCCTCCTTCTAGAGCTACTGCAAGGGTCCAAAGAGATGGCCCAGTTAACAATAAGCCGGCCCCAATTTTCTCTGCACAGAGTAAACAATGAATTGTAGCTGTTAGCATTACAGTCATTATCAGGGGCTGGATGAGACCTCCTGTGCTGACCCTCGAGGGAAGGGCAGCCCTCTTGGGGCCATCTTCTGACCTCTAGCTCTGCCATCCCAGGAAGCCTCCTCCTCTCCTCCTCTGCATGCCCCCTGGTTTCCAGCTATTGTGGGGTGGGGGTGGGATCAGTCGGGTTGGCTATGTGGCCGGGACCAAAACCAGTGGCTTCTGGTTTTGACCCAGTGGTTCTCAACAGGGGGTGATCCTGCCCTCCCAGGGGACACTGGGCAATGTCATGCCTGGAGAGGGTGTGTGTGCATGCTACTCGCATCTAGTGAGTGAATGTTGCCAAACATTGTGCAGTGCACAGGACGATCCCGCAGGGGCCCCAAGAATGATCTGGCACCAATGGCAGTAATGCTGAGGTCTGGGAAACCTTGTGCTGCCAAGTGGGAAAAAATTTAGACCCCCTAGCTCACACTAGATCCCAGAATAGATTTCTGATAGGTTAGACAGCTGTTATATGGTATACACTAGGGTGACCCCCCAGGGTCCATGAGTCCCTTCCTCTAACCGCCCCACTCAGACGTGTATTTAAATGGGTGCAGCATCCTAGGACCTCAGTAGGTCAGATGATTATGAAGGCAGTGTCTTTTGGTGGGGGGGGGGGGTCAGTGGGATTCTGTAACCCAGGGGATCTCAGCTGGGGCTGACATGCCCCTCAGGGGACACTTCACAGTGTCTGGAGACATTTCTGTTTGTTACAAGCTGGGGAATGCTACTGGCAGCAAGTGGGTGGAGCCCAGGGATGCTGCTCAACACCCTACAAGGCAAAGAATTATCAAAACGCCAAATGTCAATAAGGCCAAAAGTAGAGAAACCCCGATTTAGACCTTTGAGGTTATGACCTAGTGTGTTGTTAATAATTGATCCCTGAGACATGGAGGTTCACTGGCCCATGTTAATATGTATCAAAAATTCATAAACTCCATGTTGACATAATTTCTGTTAACATATCAAGAGTCATTAAAAAAAAAACCCATACAAATGGAAGTGGCTCTGCTGGGAGGGGCTGATTTGGGGCTCAGTCCCAGAAAAATGGGGTTTCCTGTGTCACCCCACCAGGGCAGGGTTGATCTGGGTTATGGACTGAGCCCCAGAGAGCAGGGCTTCCTGGATTAGCCCACCTCGGAAGGGACAGTCTCTAGAGAGTACGGCCCTGTTGTGCCCTTGACCTCTCTCTGCATCAGGGCATCCCTTGGGTTCCCTGGTGGTCTTCGGGAGAGCAGAGGGAGGGCAAAGGGAGGAGAGAATGGAGAGCAAGGGTGGCCTCCTAGCACCTGGAGCTGCTGGGACCTGGCAATGCCAGAGAAGTAAAGAGGCCAGAGATGCAGAGAGCCTGCAGGGAGGAAGTGGGGAGGGGGTTGGGGTGGGCTGATGTCATCTGTCCCCCATGGCTGCCCCTCTGCGGTCTGGCCTCTCCTGGGCTTCCTTCCCTGGAGGTAAAAGTCAGGTGTACCATGGCCTCCAGGCAAACAGACCCTCCCTGGTAGCATGGTATCACCTACCACCCAGAAAGCTATCAAGACTCCCTGTGGGAATCCGGAGACCAGATTATATGGGCGGTGCCAGGAGTCCCAAGATCCGGATGTAGCCCTTGAATAGAGCCAGGGACAAGAAAACGGGCTGGATGGTGGGCCGTTAAGAACCAGGTTTTTTGGGGCGCCTGGGTGGCTCAGTCGTTAAGCATCTGCCTTCGGCTCAGGTCATGATCCCAGGGTCCTGGGATTGAGCCCCCATCGGGCTCCCTGCTCAGCGGGAAGCCTGCTTCTCCCTCTCCCACTCCCCCTGCTTGTGTTCCCTCTCTCGCTGTGTCTCTCTCTGTCAAATAAGTAAATAAAATCTTAAAAAAAAAAAAAAAAAAGAACCAGGTTTTTTGTCTCCACGTGCCGGCCTGCCGATAGAGCTGGGGGGCAGGCAGCCCGCATCTGGAAGCCCCAGGAGTGGGTATGCAGAGGGACTCCACCCTGGGGCTGCATTTTTGCACCCACCTGCCTGTCTGACCCTGGGCAGCCATGGTGTGAGGCAGGGCGTTCTATCTTGCCAGTTTTTTTTTTTTTTTTTAAAGATTTTATTTATTTATTTGAGACAGAGAGAATGAGAGACAGAGAGCATGAGAGGGAGGAGGGTCAGAGGGAGAAGCAGACTCCCTGCTGAGCAGGGAGCCCGATGCGGGACTCGATCCCGGGACTCCAGGATCATGACCTGAGCCGAAGGCAGTCGCTTAACCAACTGAGCCACCCAGGCACCCTATCTTGCCAGTTTTGTATGGAAATGGATTTCTGCATCCAAAGAGGCTATTGGCTCTGGCCCCCTGAAGCCATCACCGTAAGAGAGCTATGCTATTAACTACACTCGAGTGTTGGGAGAAATAGAGGGTTTCCCATGCGGTCAGGTGAGACCCTACCAGGAGGCTCATGCTGTGGCCGGGTACTCCCACCTCTTGTCCGTGTGGCATCTCCAATTGAACCAGGTTGGCCTCATCAGGGAGCCCTCAAAGAGCAGGGATAGGGCTCCCGATATTGAAATGGAAAACAGAAAACAAAAATCCCATTTTAAAACGCCAGGTTAATTTACTTCCTTGGAATGAGCAGGAAGAACAGGGAAGTGGCTGTTGGGCATTTCAGGGAGAAATCAGGCATCAGCACGTGGGAAATACGAGGTGAAGAATTCCCTGAGACCTAGAACTTTCTGTGCACTAAATCGACCACCCTTTCTGAGGTCTGCAAAACCTGGGAAAGGCCTGCCTTCTAGTTGTGTGTGATCTGTCCACCATGTGGGGCCCACATTGCCACCCTGTCTGTGAGCCTCGAGGCATTGCCGGCATGCACCCCAACCCCCGATCCACCTCGGGGTGGGGGGGATGGAGTCCGTTTTGTCTATTATTAATGATAATAGTGATGTTTCAACCAGATCTTGTTCGAAGTGCTTTGAGTGTGTCAGCTCGTTTATGTTTGAGCTCAAGAAACCACAACCCTAGGAGGCAGGTGCTGTCTGCGTGCCCATTTTACAGATGCGGAAATGGAGGTCCTAGGAGGTTGAGTATCTCACACACAGTGGAGGCTGGGAATAAAGTCCATACATTCCAGCTCCAGAGCCCCTGATGGTTTATCTCGACAGCGGTAGTTACTTTGTTACTTGGTCTTTAAAAAAAGAAAAAAGAAGAAGGGCTGGCAGTTGAATGCGGTTGTGCTGTCTTTCAGGAGGAAAATGTTGCCGGTGTGACCAGTAGCTGGTGTGAGCCGTGTGACTGTGACGTGCTCCTTGGCCTGGCCTCTCTCTATGCCATTGTGTCTGCCCACCACGTTGCCCGGGTGTTCTGGGCGGACTCTGATGTGTGCGATCTGATGCCACCACCCAAGTCTGTGCTTGCTTTGTCCTCTGGGCCCGTGGGTCACTGACTCCTTTCCAGAGGCTCCCTTAGACCTCCACCTCCACGGGGTCTGGTTTCCCTCCCCCCTGCCCTGGCAGAGCCCAGCCCCGGGCATGAACCCAGCCTGGCACGGGCCCTCTCCAGCTGCAGAGAGGGGGTAGACGGAGAGTTCTGGAAGTTGCTGTTCCAGGACAGGGATGCTGAATGAGCCTTAAGAGGAGATAGGCCCTCCCCATTCTTGCCCGCCCAACTCCAGGGGCGCACACAAGCTCTATGGAGGCCTGGTACTGCTGACACTGAGCATGTGGGAGGGGGTGGGGGGACAACGG